GGTAAGTACCCAGGTGAGGGTTTCGCCGATGCAACGGGGGACGTAAACGAATGTACTGGGCTAATCTACGACTTCAGCGAACCGTATGATGGTACGCTACCACCGGGAAGGAGACTGGGAGGAGCTGGACGAGCGAGAAATTATCTGAGGAAGGAAGCTACGTGGCGTCATCTACCACTAGAAGAGGAAGAAGAATGGGGTCGTATCCCTGATGTAACTAGGGAAAACAGGGGGGTGAACAAGTGTAAAGAACTCAGGGGTGGTGGTGATGGCATGCCATTGTATAGAGTACATGGAGGCTGGTCAAGAGCAACCAGGGAGGATTCAGATGCGGCTATTGGATTGCGGCAAATGCAATAGTGAGCGGCTTAGAGAGCAACCCGGAGAAAAGCATGGGGAGCAGCTAGGAGTACCGACTGCAGCCACCACTGGATCTAGAGCAACTGGCGGAGGCCAACCATTACGTTTCTTCAAGGAGGTGTTCTAGGCCTGAGACCCGGCTACCAAACACCCCGTTTCTTACTCAACGCTACCAGGAGAAGGGAGAAAGAGAAGCCTGTCCAGTGTGGACATGCCACACGTATACCTGCCCACCAGTCGTTTGGATCATGTGCTATTGCAAGACCCGATCTCGATTCACCCACTGGAGAGACAGAAAAACAGACCTAAGACCCAGGGATATAAACTCAGGCCGCCATGAGTCATCAGCGCCAGCGAACAAGAGCAGGTTCGAATGTGAGATGCTATAGATGCTTGAACTACGTGTACTACACGACCGTTGGGGTGCAACACTCATAATCTTTGCTGGCCATACCTCCGCAAGAAGGCTGAGCATAATGCTGGGGTGCAACAGGTCCATCGGAGGGCACACGTGCCCTCGCTGCATTCTTCTCCCCACTTTTTTTAAGCGTACTCGCCTAGGTTGACGAGGAAGCGACTGAGGAATCACTCGAGGGCACTTGGGTGGCGGGGGCGATGTCCTGCACACATTTTACACGCGTATTGCGACATGTTTCAGCATCAAATAGGGATCACCCAGTGAAGGCTCTAACATATGCGTTATCTTCCGGACAGACGTGGCGGCGGATGTTCTGCATACCGTAATCAACCGACCGAGTAACCGCCCATCCAACGGTACACCGCTTGGGGCGCTGCTTTCAGTGGAAACTCATGACGCACGGAGGACGAGACGGCCCCTCTGAACACAACGAAGATCTGTTTCTTCCATTCAGTGTAAGCATCACAGGGAGCATGTAGCATGTTCCCGGGGCGCGGTTTTGAGTCCATAGACTTCAGCTCGATGCCATAGCTACGATGTGGGAACGTTCTTCGCCGTTCCAACGAAAACCATCCCTCTCAGAATGCGGGGTACCGTTACAATTTGAAGGCTGGGCGATGCCAGGGTACTGACAGTGGCTGAAGACCTGCTACGGTAGTTGTGCCAGTACTTGTCCATTTTGATAGACCGTAATGCCTCCATATGAAGCTGCGCTGGCCCCCTATTGGCAATGCAAGAGCCGCGGGCTAGAGACATGGTACCTTGTGGAAACCCCCAACTTGGACCACATACTAAGACGAGGTTGCCATAGACTGCAACCTGCACGTTATGTACTTCCCTTGGTGGTTAGAAACACCTCTGGCGCTTTTTTTGCTGTTCTCTTGTTTCTCGCGACATGATGTTTGAGTATTTTGGTAACAACGGCTTGTCTGCTCAAGACTATACTGCTTTGCAGTTGTGGGTGTGTACGAGGCAATATATTCGTAAGGCATGTGTCCAAGTTGTATTCGCTGAGGACGGCAGCTTGGGGTTTTAGTCTAGTACAAGGAATGGAATACAGTGGGGGTCCCTCTATAGTGCGGGTTATATAGTGCGGGTGCCCGGTATAGTGCGTTTTTTTTTGCTTGGCACAACTTAGACCCCTCTATAGTGCGGGTGCCGCACTATTAAGGGCACCCCTCTATAGTGCGGGTTTGGTTCCTCTCAAGAACCTCTATAGTGCGGGTTTTGACGTCACGCCACGTCACCACCCGCCTAGATGCGGTCAAACCCACACATTTCCCGACACACACACCCCAGCAGCAGCATACTACCCCTACTGACCATAGGAACAGCAGCATACCCCTACTGGCACACGATGCCATGTGCAGCAGGCGAACTTTGCCACCTTAGCAGCCTCACCCCAGGAAAGCCTGCAGCCGACACCTCAGTGCTGGCGGCTCAGACGTGGGCATCAATCGAGGACCAGGCGGATGTCGTGGAGGCGGTGCGGTTGGATCAGGCGGAAGACGTGGCGGCAGTCCTTAAGGGCTTGCCGGTGGAGGGCGACGAGCCTTCGGACAGCGAGGATGAGGAGGACGAAGAGGAAGGAAGCATGGGAGGCGGGCACAATGAGCCACCTCCTTACGCGGAACTTTCCCAACACTTCGCCCCCCTGGAACGCTACGCCGCAGGGTGCGCCTTGAACGAGGCCAGCTACTTGCTCAAGAGGGCAAGGATGTTGATGATCGAAGCGCATGCATCGAAGCCATCGCGCCAGGCTGATGTTAGGGAGTTTTTTGACGGGTAGAGCACTGAGCCGTTTTGCCCCTCGCAGTTACTGCTGTAGTTTGCTGGTGGCGGGGTCTGCCGGGTGTCTTGAATGAGTCAATTGTTTGCGAGTTTCACTTTGGCGGTTTTTTTTTGTTCGTGCGTTCAAGCCGCCCAACCCAAAACGTAGATGGCGTTGTGTAGTGCGGGGAAGTAGGACTTTTGGGGGTCGTTGTTTCTACGTATTCGCTTTTTCTTGGAGTGCCCCCCTCTCTTTTTTTCTCCGTGGGTATCTGGATCGTGTTGAAAAGGTATTCCTTTCGTTAGTGAACGGACGTGTTTCCTACCATGGGTATCTATTTGGAATGTTCAGGTTTCATTTTGTAGCCTTGTGATAGTGTTTGTAATGTACAAGCGGAAATGTCAATGCAAAATGGAACAAGGAACGACAACATGGGTTGGGCACAGGCTTCCCTTGTACATTGAGCGCACAAGTCATGGACCAAAAATCCTGTCATCTCTGTACGTTTAGTATAGGATGTGATTTTACCACCGTACAGGGTACATGCACTTGCTGTTCTCTGGTCACCCGCGAACGGACGCAGGCTTCAACCCGTAGAGTACATCTTATTCCATACCCCTCACTTGTTAAATGCACTTCCGTACCACCAGCATACAGTACCCCTCGCTGTTGGCTACGTCCTATGCTGAAACGCAGTGATATCGTGAATAGTGCGCCTACCCGCACTATTGAGGGTTCTGAAACCCTGAATAGTGCGCCTTCCCGCACTATTCAGGCCCGAAATCATATAGTGCGGGTGCCCGCTATAGTGCGGGTTTTTTTGCCTGCCCCATACCCGCACTATAGAGGGACCCCCACTGTATTGAAGTTTCTGCGTGTGTTCGCAGACCGTGAACCAAATCGCACACACTCTTTGGGTCGTGGGGGGCCCTTCGCCAGTTGCGGGGTGAGTGCTGATACGGCATACTTGTTCATTGATTGCGCCTGTAAACAGACCCAGATACCAACACAGAAAAGATCCTACACTATGTATTACCTGATCAATTGCGTAATCGCAGAGTCTAGAGGATGCCTCTACCCTCTACTGACTGTATGTGTAGTCGGCAGTCGGCAGTGGTCCTTGCCCGTTCGATCTTTCGATCTTTCGACGGCACGTACATGTGCAGTACATATAATCAGCACCATCAAAATGGATTCACATTCGCCAATACATACCAAGGGTCATGCCGTAGAATCTTCATATCGTGCACCGTAGTAGCCCTGCCAGCTGAGCTGCTCTCTCCGAAGATGTGGACGGGCGAACGGGCGCAAGCCAAGCAAGATATGCGGCGGGTTTGTGCGTGGGGGGGGGTAGGGGGGGTGGGGGTTCCGTGAATCACACCTCCCAAAACAAGATACCGAGAGCGAGAGAGTGCTCACTCAGCACTACATAGCCAGCGACGTGGCATATCCCGCACAGCTTTGCTGGTGCTGTGGTTCAGCGTTCGGGCACGGGAAGACGCATTGCTTCCATTGGCATTATACCCTAACGGGCAAACATTATGGTAGCAGAGAGGAGGCGAAGAACCGGCTCAGCATGCATACTTTTCATGTTCAACAGCAACATCAGGTTATCCCTTGCGTTCCTCGCACCGAACCCAACCATCATCGCTCTTCCCTGGAGGGTAAGAGAACTGGGCCCTCGAGCAGGGCACGGAGACTTCCCCTGTCGTGGAGTAGCACGGAATTGGCATAGTGTGCATCAGAGGTCAACACACAGGACTTCCATGGTCCAGGATTTCTTCGATACGAAAGCCAGGAGTCAGGTACGCGCGGGTTGGTGCCACCGGAGCACTGCTGTGTTCGTTGAAGAAATGGGACAGGTGCAGCAGCCAACATTATGTGTAAGACCCTTATTGCGAGAGGCATTGCGCACCGGCACGAAGTATGGGCGCTGTTTTGGTTTGCGCGGGGCGCTACAGCAGTAGTGCAACCCAAGAGCCGTCAAAGGTCGAAAGGCGCAAGGCGGCGCAACCTTCTTTGGGGTCGTTGCCGTGTCACTCGTCTACAGCAGTACTGCTGTAGAAGTGTTGCATCAGTTGGCCGTTGGCCAACGCACGTGCCTGGCCCCGTCTTGCCCCCTCTAGTAGTTGACACGGCTCGCTTGTGTGTGCAGCAGTGCCACACACACAAAAATTCGCAGCGCCACAGACAACACGTGGTCTTGCTACGGCCCTCGGGCGCGACAGCATTGTTGCTGTGCTGTACTCCCCGTCCATGCCTCAAACTTGATGCCATCTTACAGAGGTTACCCCGCCCGTCTGCCCCAACTTCTCCCCTCCGCCTTACCCCCCAACCCCCCCCCGCTAGCTTGTGTCCAGGACATACGCCTCGGACCCGTCGTTGTTTCGAGACATCGACACGCTGGATAAATGCTCGAGCTGGACTGATCCAGTTATTTTCAGCGATCAGATGGCACTTAGTCCCACTACCCGCGGGGTGAGTATACTGCAGTAAATACTCTAAGGCGGTGAAGGTATTTAGATAGAAACATACAGCAGAATGTCAAAGTCAGTTGCCGTAATATAGGACATTGTGGAAAAAACCCAGAATGATTGATGGTGCTACGGACAAAGTTCTGCGGGCCTCGCAAGGATCGAGATAAATACACGCAGGTTCATACCATCGAATACATAGACAGTGCGCCACATGCAAACCCATGACTCAAATAGTGGATGGCTCTCCATTGATAAGCACATTGCAATGCACACACCACAATGCGTGATCCCCTCCCATTTCGATCTTCCGGCCACGCCCAAACGCCCGATTTCTTCTTTTCAGTGTATTTACACCGCTATGCGGTTGCAATAATGTATCCCTACGTCATCGTCGTGATCGTGTTGGCAGGCTCTCTTTTCCACCGCCATTCGATCGTTGCTCGTGGTGGCGGCCTTCTTGTCTTTCCCGACACTGGTCGAAGACATCTCGCCGCTAATCTTTTTGAAGGTACGCACCACTTTGGGATAGCTATACCGTCTCACTTCCGTGCTGGTGCTGGCGCTACTAATGATTTTTTTTTTTTATTACGAAGGCATCGATCACGCGGAGCCCCCGCAGCCGCCGAAATCCTATGGGACAGGCCGTTATTCTTCAACAACCCCGGCTGCAGTGGCGATCCAAAAAGTGGTAAACCTTCTACTTTAAGCAACCTTAGGCATGTCTCTACAGCGTGGTACCGAAAACAAGTTGGAGGGGATCGTTTTTTGAGCGCGGATAGAGCGTTGAAGGTCAAATTGCGGGGGAACTTGCCGGAGAATTCCAACAAAATTGGAGGTGGACGTGTTGGGCGTGTTTGGTCGACATATGGGCGATAGAGCGCTTCACTGGAACGACCCTCGTAGCGGCAATCCAAAATTTTGCCAACCCTTCAATGCTACCTTTGCCTATGAAATGCACTCTGGCGAAGTTTCGAGCGAGATCGTCAACTCCTTTGCCCGCGGGTAGCAGCGTGAAGTTTGGTGCTGAGAGCTGCGGAACGGGCTTGAAGCAGCAGCTCTTTCACTTTTGATAGCACGGCTTTCGCCAAGTTCAGAGAGAAAACAGGCCGAACCAAATGTCTTCACGTGTAGAACACAACATGCTTGAGGTATCCTGCAGGTTTCATGGTACGTAGCCGTCTGTGTGAGGAGAACCAGCAGTGACAAAGGTGTGCACCAAATGGTGTGCTGAGCAACCGATCATGAGACCTTACGCGGGGTACCATCGATTTTCGCGGAGCCCCTTTGTCATATTTTTTGTGCTTTTTGTGGGACTTGCAACACGGGTGGTTCACGCGCATTTATCGTGGTGCTGGGGCGGGGCGGGGGGGGGGGGGGGGGGGCACCAAAAGCCTCTTGGGGGGATTTAATGTGCCACGGAGCGCGCTGAAAATGGAGACGATTGTGCACGCTCAGCCGTTTGCACTGTTCTGGAAAGGGGGACATATTTTGGAGTAAATACTACAATACTATCGGGTATCGAAGCGGAATGTTTTGCTCGTGCTTCGGATTGCTTATTTGCCACTGCGAACCTACAGCACATCCAACGTGGCAAAGAGTTTTGTTTCCCTACACACGTGGCGACGTTTTTTTTTTTGTGGCAGGACGGTGCCCTGTCCGACGAAGTGCGCTTGGGGCTGACGGGATCGTTTTTGCCCGGCGTATCGCTGCTGTTCGGTGCGCTCTTCTCCTACACCATCTCCTTGCTGGTGAGAGTTGCCGAGGTTGATGGATCACGTTGTTGTCGTTGTCGTCGTTGTTTTGTAGATCGATACAGCAGCACTGCCGTTGTGGACGACATTGACCAGCACCTTCTCTCCGTATTGACTTGTCTCGTCGTTGAGGTGTTGCCGACAGCAGAGTCCGGGTTGGTGTGTCACGACCAACGCGGTGGATTGGTGATGATATTTGGTAGTTTTCTTTGCCGCTGTGATGAGATCTGGCCGTGCAAATGATTGAAAATGCTTGATTTTCATGGCGACGATAGCTACCATGGTTGCCGCCTCTTGTTTTGAGCACTAAATCCTTCTCCCATATATACGCTGTTTGGGGACGCTGTAGATGCATGTTTGTCTTGGAGGATGGGGAATACCAGGTATTTACTATTTACCAGTACGATGTAACGAGGGAGAGACTCGTGCTCCACTGAACATGCACCAAATCAAGCACAGAGCTTGTGGCTAGCACCTCAGAGACACATGCGTCCCAACCATCAAAAGGTGAAGTTCAACTGGAGTGTGTGTGTGTGTGTTGGAATCTTAGTCCTTCCAACCATCTGCGTGTTTGTGCTTGCAAGGTCAACAGGCAGATCAAGATCGAGGAGATCGTGAACGCGGAGGTATCAGCCCTATTGGCGATATTGCTGCACATGGAAGACTACTTCAGGTGAGATAGGCCCCCATCCTCATCGATAAGTAAAACAAGACTCAAGAGGAGTCGTGCACGTTATGTGTTTTCTCCGCGCAAGGGGCGGGGTTAGTATATAGTCTTGGTGATGGTAGCATGGCACGAAACAAGAGAGGAGCGGGGCCGAGAGAGGACGCACGGGATGAGAACGAGAGTGCGAGAGAGGGTTACTGCGCGATACAACCTGGGTGAACGCATGCGTTGAAATGAGCGCCATTCCGGTCTAGCCGGGGACGCCATCCGTAGCTTACCGAAACAGCTGCCTCTGCTGGTTCTGCTGCTGCTGCAAATACGTGCGATTCGAGCACCGCATGGACCGACCAATCCGTTGACGATTCCGCTGCCCTGTAAGATCAAAAGGGCCCCCGCGGTTGGCCGCCACGCGGCATGTACCCCGCACTGAGACGCCCGAGCCCTCCTCTCTGGAAACCGGACAGGTATAGCCCGGTAGCTCTGGAGGCGGCGATGGAGGCGGCATGGAGACACACGGACACTCTCATATTCCAGAGCCGTTACCAGGAGATTTTGCTTCTTGTCCAAGACGACCCCCTAGAAGACCTCATGAGGGTGAGGGATGGGCGGATAGTAGACGACATTTCGTTGTGTAGCGCTGGGCTGAACCAGGCGGAAAGGGTGTGAAGCTAAAAAGCGTTAATTGACAAAGATTGCGCCCCGCTTCGTTGCAGGCGGTCGAAAGTTGCTGTACTTGTTTTCAACAGTGAAAAGCTACGCAGGGTGGGGTCGACATCGGGGGTTGCGCCGGTTGTCTTCCTGCATTTGTTGATCTTTCGAGACGAGAATTGGGGTCTGGGGTCTGGGGTCATGGAGGAGGGACGTCGGATGAACGATCGACGTAGGCAGCGGAAAGCGCCCGTCGAGAACACACACCACGCCTTTCTTGCATGCCTTTGTTTGTGTCCTACACGTTGTTCTTGTTTGTGGTACCGTCTTGTCGAGGTTTGTCTGCGAGTGGCAACAAGGGCGTTGACCCAGAAGCATGCTCACACAAGTGACGGGAGTTGTTTGCGCGTACCTTGCCTTTCCCACCCCTCCTCTTTCATCTCTGGTAGTGGTGTGGAAAAGACCCGGGAATATGACGGCCGGCGAGAGAGGAACATTACAAATTTTGGCGGGGTGCGAGTTGCACAGAAAAGAAAAGGCTGCCGTTTGATGCAGCGTGAAAGGCAGCAGAAGGATGTATGGGGAATGGAAGTTTTGGCACCCCGACAAAAACTCCAGATTTACGATCGCGGTGCAAGGTTCCCTACACAAGGTTTGGTGCAAACATCACGAGCTTTAATTTGAACGTTGGTATTTCCTAAGTGAGGAGAATGAAGTTTGCTCCTCCTCCTCCTCCTCGGAGGGGGGCGACGCGTGGTCAATGCTTGAATGGCAGTATTGTAAGGCTTCGGTAAATGTGCCGCCAACCTCCCGCCCCCAACCCCCGCGCCTCTCTCCGCGTGCACCCTGCTGCTATTCCCACTCCGGCGGCGTGCGCTTTTCGTGTATGGTACGACATCTGGGGTCAATCAGCTTATCATCGCCGTGGATGACGAAGTACTGGCTTCGGATGCCCACCGCAACAAGTCCGGGGTGCATCGAGACGTGAGCAATGCACTTTGGCGCCTTGGAAGTAGTAGCCGGGGAGTTGACCGAAGCTGCTTCTTCACGAGCGCTGTAGCCCAGAACGTTGGGGCAGGGGGTTAACCGAACCTGCTTCTTCACGAGAGCTGTGGCCCAGAACGTTGGGGCAGGGAGTTAACCGAACCTGCTTCTTCACGAGAGCTGTAGCCCAGAACGTTAGCCAGGGAGTTATCCGAACCTGCTTCTTCACGAGAGCTGCGGCCCGGAACGTTGGGGCAGGGAAAGCCGCTTGTGCACAAAAGTAGGACTTTTCTCGCACTATCACTTGTATGCAGAGGGCTCGAGAAACGAAGATTTTTCGCTGTTTTGTTCATGCAATACGTGTGGCCATCCACGTTGCTGGTTGCGATGGAAATTAGTTGTCGGACATGACGCATGGTGCATGAAGGGTTGTTTCGTTTTGCTGCGCTTGGCGCGAAAGTGACGAGAAATTTTCACGGGGAAGGTGCTAGAAGTATTGTACATGGTGGTTGCGCCACCTCTTGGCCGCATCTGCCGTCGCCGCACGTGTCCTGCGAAGGAGCTTGGGGCGGGGGCGGTTGTTGTCATTGCAGCTCGTTTCAAGCTTGTCGAAACAACAAGGGGAGATGAAAGTTAAGAAAACGAAAAACGGGATCTCACGCTTGACCAAAAAAAAAAAAACCAAGCAGGTACGACGTAGTCCAATTTTTTGAAAATCTTCCTAGTGTCTGATGGTATCGTCCGATTTGTCGAGTCTTACGAAACATGTCCCCCCTCCCTCTCGCCTCATCTTTTCCGATTTTTTTGTATTGTGTTGTGCCACCTGGTGCGCGCACTTGCCACCACGCCTTGCCTGATCTATCCCGAGCGGCCAGAGCTTGGGGTACCTGAGGGGAGTGTCTTCGGACCTACTCAAGCTTAGAACGACGCGGCTGTCGAGCGAGGGAAGAGTTCTCCCCCCCGTGCACTTCGGGATTCTCGTCATTCTCGCCAGGTGATCCCTCTCTGCCTTTGCCGTGCTTATGGTTTGATGCTTTCGTTGTTGTTGTTGGTGTTGTGGTTGTTGTAGTTGCTAAGGTTGGTGTTGTAGTTGGTGTAGTTGTTGTTGTTGTTGTTGTTGTTGTTGTTGTTGTTGTAGTTGTTGTGGCTGGTGTTGTTGTTGTTGTTGTAGTGGTGGTTGTTGGTGTTGTTGTTGTTGGTGGTGGTGGTGGTACCCTTAGATGTAAACGGCGTGCCTTCTTCCCTGTTTTTCCTCTTCGCTGCGTACCCTAAGCCCTGAATGAATGCGAGTGTTTTTGTCTTTTTCACCGTTGTGTTAAGAAGTGTAATGTTTCGTACCGCATTTTTACTATTCCATGGGCACACTTTCGACTGCATCACACAACGAACGACAACGCGCGCTGCCTCTCTTTAGAGTATTTTGTGTGTATTTGGCTGATCATCCAACGGACAACGAAATTTCTCCGATTTTTTCCCTCCGATCACGCAGGATTACTCGAGCGACGTATGTACATACGCCTAGCTCCCTGTCGTTTTGATTTCGCTGGTGCATCCTATCTCGTCGGGATTCAGTCATTGCCTTGTGTATTTCACATGACCGGTAAACACCTGCAACAACCTCGGCGGGATTGTTGATGTTCGGTCTGCCTTGTCGTAGGACGAAAAATCAGGGAACTTGAGTTGTCCACCGCGGGTCAAGTGTAGAGGAGGTGACAATGATTTGCGCTGGAACCACGGAACCCCGTTGCTAGTGCAACCCTTTGTTACTGTAGTCCTCACCTCTCCCCCCCCCCCACCCCCTTCTCTCTCTCTTTCTTTTCCTCTCTGTTTTTTTTCTCTCTCTTGTCTCTGTCTTTCTCTCTCTCTCTCTCTCTCTGTGTGTCTTTCTCTCTCTCTCTCCCTCTCTCTCCCCCCCCCTCTCTCTCTCCCTCTCTCTCCCTCTCTCTTTCATGCACGTGGTCGCTGATCCTCTCACACGGGGATTCGCCTGCCTTCACCAACTCTTAATACGAACATTCAGCATGCTCTTGTTCGGCTTCACGCTGGCGTCGGCTCAACCGCCGACAGTGGACGGGCCTGTTGCAGCGGCCTTCGAGAGCAGAGTGCTCTTTACCCTGTTGCTCTTCAGCTTCTCGCTGCTGTTGGAATTTGCCTTGGTGGGTGCTGCATGCTGAACGGGGAGATGACTCCGCCGTGTGTTGGATCTATCTGTGTGTTTGATTGTTTTGCCGTTTCGTCGTGGGTGGTGATGTTGCTTCTGCCGGTGTTGTGTGTTGTTGTTGGTGGCGTTGTTGTTGTTGTTCGCGGTGGTGGTGGTGGTGACTTGTTGGCGGTGGTAAACGTATTTGCTTGGTATGGTACATTTCATCTCGTTAGGCTTCTTCTCACGGATGACGACTTTTGAACGGCCCGTTGGCCAGAACGGCACCACATCCACCGCTACTACCTGCTGCTACATACCTGCTACAAATCACTACACTTGCAAGTGATGGAAATTTCCTCCACCGTTAAGCACCTGACGCCTTCAAGCACCTGGCATTTTCCTTGGCTTGGTGACGAGACCGCTTCTACTGCTGTTGCTGATCTTGCTGCTGCTGCTGCTGCTGCTGCTGCTGCTGCTGCTGCCGTTGCTGCTGCTGCGAAAACCTTTGTCGCCGACATCGGGTACTGGTGTGAAGGACTTGACGAACCCGTTCGTGGGGCGTTACAAGGTCCGGCGGACAACAACGACCGCCATCATGGTCAAGATAAGGAGCGAGATCGTTGCGGTGCGTGCCGGCGTTGCGTGCACGTCCGCGCGAAAGCTGCATGCCGGTCGTTGGCTTTGCTTCGATACCCGATCGGGCGGCGGCAGTAGTTGGCGGGGCGGGACTCACCTTTGCGTTGCAGCAGTTGTAGAGCGAGCGGGTGTGCGATGATTGCGTTTTCTGGTTTTCTGTTCCCGTCGAGCGAGCTTGCGTCCGGAGTTCACCCCCCTCTTCGATGAAACAATATCTTGTCATTCCTCGTCGCTCTCTGATTTATCGCTGTCCTCGTCGTTATCCCTTTGATTTTTTTTACCCTGGCAACGAACGAATGAACGAACGAACGAACGAACGACCCCAGGTGATGGGCCGGCAGCACATGAAGGACTTCGACGTGATGTTCAACATCCAGAAGAGACGTACCCTGAGAGACTTCAAGCGCGAGACCGGAATGACTCTTCCATCGGACAACCAGATTCAGCCTCTACCGTAGCTCAGGCGACACGTAGCTCACGGCCGACCACAACAACACCGGGCTCGGGCGAGGGGAAAGCAGCGGGGGCGGGAGCGCTGGGCCTGCCTTACAACGGGCCGGACGCGTTGGACGCGTTGTGTCGAGAGACCCGGCATTTGCGTAGGACTGTTTGTGGGGTCTCTCGAAGCGGGATTGGCGGGTCGTGCTTGCTTCATTGACGTGCCGGCGCGCCAGCCTTTTTGGTGCTTCGGGGGTGGGATCGTCTTTCGAAGCGACAATCTAGGAGTTTATTTTGTCTCTCGAAGCAGGACTGACGGCTCGTGCCTCCTTCTTTGACGCCGCCATTTTTGGTGATTCTGGTATGTGCTGGTGTTGGTGGCGTTTTATGTTATTGGGCGATCGTTGTCTGGTTTCCCCAGGTAGATGGCGCTGCTTGAGGTCTGGTTCAAAGATGGGGGTGTGCAGTTCTAGGTGCATGCAGGCTGTACCTTCTTTCTGGATCCGATGACTTTTCTGTGTATTATCGTTGAGTGTTATTTTAAACCACGCGATTGGTTAGGTGATTTATCCCCCGGTTTTCCGGCACTTGAGAGTGCCACGCACACATTTCTTCATTTCTCGCGATCGAGGTTGAATCAAACACTCTGCCTTTAGGCCGGGTGTGTGCGTGCTGTAGATATAGACGGTTGGTTGCACATGGAGCTAGCTGACAGCTGCCACAACGAAGAGAACGTGCGCGCATTGTCCTGGAAAGGCCGCCACGTTGCTTGGTTGGGTGGGGCGAGGATGTAACGACCGTTCACAGGCATGCATGTCCACGACAGCGCATGTATGATATTCCACTAAGGATGCCGTCGTATTTCAGCATCGCAGGCATGCATGTCTGGTGCTGTACCATTTTGGGCCAAGAAGACACGATATTCGCGGAGAAAGCACCGCCACGTTGTAGAATCCGTGTTTAGCGATGATCATGTACTTTTTTTTTTGTTTCAAGGTAGTTATAGAGGAGCTAATATAGAGAAAAAGGGTAACGAGAGGAGCACAGCACACGCTGCGAGTTCTCGTTTTGCAACAACGTTGTGACGGAAAAAAACTGTTCCGTGGTTGCACCATGTTCGTCACTGTCAGTCGTGACTGACTGCGTTTCTTTTTTTTATTTACGTAGCCGTCCACGTGTTGAGCGCTGTTTGCGTCTTGCGTCAGGTACCCCTCAAGTCTAGCAGTGCAAAATGAGATTTTTGCCACGCCGGGAACGTGAGTGCAATCGGTGGCTTGTGTTGCAACATGTTCTTGAAGACGACGATGGCGTGGTTCCTGCGGTTTGCGAGTGTAGGTGTGCTGGTGATGGTCGTTGCGTTGGCAAGAACGAGAGGTTTTCGCTTGTTTGTGACTGAGGCCCGCGCTTTGTTGGCCGTTGCGGGGCAAGATTGTATTGAAGTCAAAGAGTTTCGTCGGCGTTGCAAGACCCGACCCCCCTCCCAAGTTTTGAACCAGGAATGTATCGTTCGTTATTGAAATTGAAAATCTATACTTGTTGCACCTGGTCTTTCCCCTTGACAGGAACCTTCCCCATTGCTCGCTTCATTTGTAGTCCTTGGTAGAGGCGGATGCTGCGCGGAGATTTGCGTGGAAATTGGCATGCGTACTCGGTGATTTTCCATCCAGGCGCGTTCTCCACGGGGTAGGCACCATTGCCCAAACATGGTCTGTCATCGCTTACCGGCAACAGCCGGGATTGAAGCAATACGCCCCAGACTGGCCTTTCATCTCCGAACGAGTGCAACGCTGCCCAAAAGCGGTGACGACAGGCAAATTGTCGCTGCAAACTACTCCGGAGATTAGTTTTGACATCGGGAAGCTTTTTCATGGCGTTTTATTTTTATACAAATACTCTTGCGTGCATTTAACTTCACCTCATTATTGACCCGAAAACCCTTCATTCTGCAAAAACCTTCGTACCAGGCAAGCGTTACGCGTGCTTTAGGCTTCGTCGGCAGACATGACACAGAAACTCTCAAGACACGCGGCTTGTCCCTAAACTACCTCCCGAGACTTCTTGAAACGGAACTTTCAAGTCTAATCGAGCAGCGGCGGCACGATATGTCACGGTTCTCTCCTGCAACAAACAGCCGGACAAGTCCCGCAACCGTTCACTCACGCAACCAACTTCGAAAGGAGTGACATCTCGGCACAAGCGCCTCCAGCCCGGGTGGATTTCCATCAATTTCAGCATGCTTTTCCCATCAATTTCAGCGTGCTTTCTTCATCAATTTCACCGTGCTTACACACGGAGGCGTGTCACTCTTTAAGACAATGAACATTGCCGCGGCCGAAGAACATCTAAATAATACTTCCTACGCGTACTGACATCTAGCCTATCTTTTTCGCAAAAAAACAACACGTGCCGTTATCTGTCCCACTCGTCATCGCTGCCGCTGCTGCGGTCGGGCTGCGTGGCGTCATCGAAGTACGTCAAGTCGTCCACGTGCTCGTCCACCGCCCCTTCCTCCGCGCTATCCTCTTCCTCGTCGTCTGTTTCGTCGTCGTCGTCCTCCTCCTCGCTACTGCTGCTACTGTCGTCGTCGTATTCCTCGCTGCTGCTGTCTTCTTCAGACTCACTCTCCCCCCCCCCCGCCTCCCTGTTGGCTGGTCCAGCCTCGTCGACGCCTCCCTTCTCCCCAACGCTCTCCGTGCGTTCAACCCCGGGGGGCACCGCAGACTGCTTCCGATCCACCCCCCTCCTTGCCCCGCCGCCCTTTACGGCAGCGTTTTTCACGGTGTCATTCCCCCCCTTTGATGCCACGTCCGATGGGTTACTGCTGCCGCCGCCTCCGCCGTAGGATACGCTAGGCGAGCCTCGGGAGGATGCAGTTTTGCTCGCCCTGTAGGCCTTCGCCCTCGAGGCTGCCGTCTTGCTGCTAGTGGCGGGAGCGGTTGTGGCCTTTCGCGGCCTAGCAGCAGCGCTAGCGGCCTCGACCGCTGTCTCTACGGCGGTACTCTCTTCGGAGCTTTCGCTGCCTCCGTCTTCGTTGCCGCTGCTACCGCTGCTACCTTCCTCGACCTCCTCTGCTTCTTCGACCGCGCTGTTGCTGTCCGTTGATGTCTGAGTAGAGGGACTATGATAGTAGATGCGAAGGAGCGAGAGGGTGCGCGGGTGGGGGGGGGGCGTACTCGTGTTTTGTATGCCTTAGCGGTTAGACCATCACCACGCGTTCTCGAGAGCACGGAGCGGTGGGAGGGTGCACTTGTTGTCAGGCATGGCATTTTGTTTTTAGACATTGCCAGCCTAAACATCCCCGCACAACGAAGTCGTAAAAAGGAGCACGTTTATCGGGCGTTTCGCCCACCAGCCAGAAATTGACACGACAAAAGCGCGAACCGCTGTAAGGATGGCAGGTGACATGCGTGCCCACACAACCGTGCGAGAGGTGTGCTTCGGCCGGCACATTCGCACCGACTCTATCTTGTATATCACGGCCGATAGCTTCGAACGCCGTGTTGTTGGTTCCGGAGTGTGGTTGTCTACAACGCTTGATAAACTACAAGGGGACCGGGCGGCGTTGGGCGTACACCAGCGATGACCAACGAAAAACAAACTGCCGAACAAGCGGCTAGTCTGAACCAAGGCTAAAGCCGACGCTAAGAGTGGAATAAAACAGGCACTGGGTTGTATTGTAGTGTTCCCCCAGACCCAAACAAGAATACCTGGTACACTTGCACTATTATTACACCTATTGCCGGACTTACGTATCGAAGCCGTGTGCGGCAGGGAGACTCAGGTCCGGAACGTGAAGGCCGTAGATGCCCAACAGCTCTTCCGCGTCCAGAAGGAATGTCAGCACGTCGTCGTATCTGGTTCAACGTTTGGTGGAAGAATTTCGAAAAGGTTCGAACGGAGGGCGTTAGGACAGAATGTCCCGGCAGTCGGGGGCGTGCAGTGGTACATACCTCAGCGCTCGCTCGTGCATAGCGCCTCGAAGAAAAACAACTGACTCAACGCCTTTTTTACCCTCACTCCCGGTGTAGGCGACAACACACCGCCAATCGATCGGAAAAATGCGAAAAAATACATTTATTTAATACACTCCGGCGTGCTCCCATCCCTTTTTCTCTTATTTTTACTTCGATGTATTGTCGTCGCTCGCACTGGCTGACTACCCTACGGTCTTGACAAGAAGACACTAGACGCACCTGGTCATGTAGAAACCCTTGAAGTCGTTGAGGCACTCCTCCACCATAGCCGAGTCTGCGCCGTCGAACAAGTCGCCGTCTTCGGCCTCTTCCAGCACCCAGTCCAGAGAAGAGTGAAACCGTCGCCATAGCTGTGTTTTTGTTTTTGTTTTTGTTTTTGTTTTTGTTGCACCAATCACCAGCAAACAACACACACGTTACGAGTCAGCCGGTTAAGAGCGGTCGATACCAACAACATAAAACGCACATACACACGAGCGCCGAAAACCAAAAACAGACGAGAAGCTAGGCGACAGAGAGGACTAGGGGAGTCGAAATCCAAGCGGGAGATGCACGGCTTGGCGGCTAGGGTTCGCGACTGCAAGCTGTTTTCCCGACTGTCGGGAGAGGGAAGGATTCATCAGAAAGACTGGCGCTGGGATCGATGGGTGCACGCAGAGCTTTCAGATCTCGCGACCGGTCGGGGGGAACGGCGCGACAAAAAGTCGGGGGAACTCTCGTGCTTCCCGGTTTGAGGCTGCATGCGGTCGAGGCCAAGCTCTGCATGTAGCTCCCAGTAGGTGCTCCACGTGTCGACGTCGATGGCTAAAACAGCAGTGAACCATCCAACGATTTTTACACACCAATCAAAAAGTGTGCACACTATCAAACAAGTGCCTACACCGTTACCTTCCAAGGACGTTTCACATGCCGAATTTGCACAAGCGCTGCTACCCTCGATACAACCTATCCCGACACGCCCGACCGCGCTACAATGCATACACCTGACCTGGTGCAAGTCGAGGGCCGTGTTCCTCAGGCACAGCACCGTCAACTCCGTCTCCTCTTCCGGCTGCGGCTGGCACGACACGCCGAGGTCGATCGCCTTCTGTGCCTTCGCTAGGGTGGTGACGACGTTCTCCCATCCCTCCTCGCGCTGCATCGTATCAAGCTCCTGCACGGTCAGCGCGGGGGGTAAAGAAAAGGGGGCACGTTGTCACACCAGAACAAGGGGGGGGGGGGGGTCCTCGCTTGCTTGCATGAGATGCATAGAAAACCGGTGGAAGACCTCCCAGGTTTTGGCGCACGTCACGTCGTGGTCCTACCTTTCGTCGAAATGTGCGTGATTTACCTGATTTTGTTCGTTGTCCTTACGGGTTCGATGCCCTCCAACGCACGGCATTTTGCGGCGGAATATTCCTCACGAAGCTGATACAACAAAGATAATATGCTCGCGAGATTGAACAATGGGACAGCAGTTGTTGGCCCATAGACGGGCAGCCCTTACTCCCTGTTACATCATTCGCGTAGCGGGAGACCCCGTGGGCTTCATACCGTACATCAAGTGACGATTGTACACAAGAGTATCAACAGAAGCCACGAACAGGTGTCCCTCCTAGTTGGCCACTCACATCCGCACGCCGGCGCTACATCCAAGGACGGTGTTGACAGTATTATCGTACACGCGTACGGTACCGTTTGGGGTGAACGACGTGTCGGAAAACTATGGCAAAAAACAAAAAACAACGATACCGCTGCTTTGAGACAACGATAGCAGCAGCAACAACAAGCTACTATAATACTACAAAGCACACCTGGAACCTAGCGTTGAAGCCCTCCGCGCGCTTGAAGACGTACGTGCCGTAACGGTCGACGAAGGAGCGGAATGCCTCTCCTTCCTCACTAACGCGGCACAGCACGTCCAGGTCGAAGTAGCGGCACGCGGTCTTCTTGTCCCACTCCCGACTCATCTGGAAAAAAACCCCGTCACAAGCCAGGAACAAAATCGCGAGAGAGCCGGCCGGCCAGTAAGCCGTCAATGGAGCGCGCGGGTTGGGGATTTAACTACAAGTGTAGTACAGGCGGTTCGATCGAGGTTGTGTACGGCCAACGTCCTGCGAAGACTTGCGGAAAGGAGCAGCAACATGACGAAAGCAGGTGACACTGGTGGGCTCGTCTTCAGCATCAAGCAGCAGAAACATCCGCACGTATCTACCCCATGCCCGAAATAGAAACATACCCATCAAGAAGCCCTACCTGTGTGCCCACTCGCTGTAGCTTATGCTATTACCTTACTGCCTTCCCGATCAAAACCTTTACACCCACGGCTGGGTTACTCCGCATGCAGATTCTGCAAAATACCTTTGCGAGAAAAATCTTGAGGATCGCGTGGTGCTCCACGGGCAGGTCTCTCAGGATGCTGTGGAAAAGGTAGACCGCTTTGGAAACGGTCCGCCAGTCGGGCTCGCTCATCTTGGCCCACAGCTTCCGCAGCAAAACCCTGCAGAAATAACGACAACGGGCGTATTCGTGGTTGCTGTGGCTGGCTACCTTGACGTCATGTGCCTTCCGACCAGAGCTCGACGCGATCGCTCCAAACAGCGTTTAGCTCTCGCTTGAACCATGGTACCCAACTAAAGGCATGATCTGCCAAGCACACACAACATGAGCATAAAAACACACCTGTGCTCCGCGCTGTTCTTGGTAACGTCCCGATCCTTCTTGAAGGTTTTGACAGCATCAACCATGGATAGCACCTGCAAGGTACAAAATGGTCAAATTGACACACACAGCATGGAATGGTTGGGTGTATTAGTGCACAAACAACATCGATGGGATATAAATTCAGTCTCTAACATTGACCCTGGTCTACACGTACAGACTTATGGCACACCGGGTTTCGATGGGCTGCACAGCACACAACAGAAGAATCCTTGTGGCACCTGCGCACGGGCCTTCGGGCTTAAAGGCACACATCAAGAAACAGCGCGCGGACCCCCGACAAGCCGAGAGACAAGGGGGCTTTAACCTACAGGGACCCTGCACAAGAAAAGGGGCCAAGTTGACTTTGGGACGCGTCGCTCGTATTTTCATAGCCAAAAAACGAACGCATGGACTTTGACATAACACAGGTTCTTTGGAGTTTTCCCTCCATGGGTACCAGCACTTGTCCCTCTATCTCAATTCCATCCCTCGCCCTCTCCCTTCTTCTGTTTCTCTGACTAAGACCCCTACCATTGCAATGTATTCTGCCTCCTCCCTCTATCTATCCGCACACGCATTTTTGTTTGTCATCTCTCACCAGGGTCTCATCCGGAGGGAGGTCGTCTGGCCAGGTCACCTTGAGGAGGGCGCTCTCCCAGCTCCCACTCACGACTAGTTTCACCTGTGCCATAAGCATAGTACAACAAGTACAAACGCATCGGAAGCAGCTCGCTTGATACAACATACAGCAACTACTTATCCACCTCCACATCCCAACTGATGATACAACATTCGAACGAACAGTACGCAGCACACCAGACAACATGAAGACCTGCTCGTTTTATTTAGTAGCGCAGTGCGCTACTCGACAGCACGCAGTCACGTGTGTCGAACTCGAATCACCGACGAAAACAAGTGAACATATAGCCGTATTATTAAGCACGATCAGATAAACCGCGTACTCCATGAGCCTTGTCCAAGTAAAAGTTTGAAGAGAGTTTCTTTCGTTTACACCACGAGCAAGGACAACGTATGTTGCGATCGCCACTTCTGGCACGCACGACGTACCGTACCGTTCCGCTTGCTCTTGCCTTGCCCTCACGACACTGACAACGGGGGGCGGGCCGCCCGTCAATCTCGACCTCCACCCCGATACCCGAAAGGAAAATACTACCACATGCCAGGAGAGCAGGAGTACACTCCATAAACACCTCCCCCCTCCAATGCATACCGCAACCCTCGGCCTTCTCACACCCACCTCGCGCTTGAGTTTCTGGGAAGTGGAGGCGGCGAGACTCCCGGCTTGTCCCACTGCCTCCGCTGCCGTGCCCATCTTCTGTCGCAGGGCCGAGGCAATGGCGGCGCCGCTCACCGCCGGCATCCTCACCGCGAAGCCCCTCGTCGTAGGCGCCGCCGGCCGCCTCCCCCGCTGGTACCGCGACGAGCCCCTGGCTCCGCTCCGCCGCCGGCCGCTGCCGCCGGCGCCGTCGCCGGTCCATGCCGATGGGCGCGGCTGGCGTCTCGACGGCGCGCGGCTGTTTCTGCCCTTCGGGGATGCCAGAACGTCGTCGTCATCGTAGTTGTCCTCCCAGGAGTGTTCGTCGCCGCCTTCGCTGCTCCAGCCACCATCCTCATGTTCTCCTTGGGAGTAGTCGTACGACCCGGTATCGTAGCCGAGGTCGTCCGAGGACGGCTGGCGCGTCCTCCTGCCGGCGTCGGTACCCACCGCCGGATAGCCGAACTCGTCTTCGTTGAACAAATCGTCGTCTTCGTCGTAAGAATCCCATTCATCGTTGTCGCCGCCCTCCTCGCTACTCCCGCCGCCGCTGGACCAGTCCCCGAAGTCGGACGAAGCTCTGCAGGTATGCACAGCGGTGTATGAATGGTATCATGCGCATTATGTGTGTGCCGGCTTCAGAGGTGTGGTGGTGGTGGGGAATGTTCGACACAGGATTGCTGCTGCTTACAATCTTGACGCGGCGCAGCCGTCCTGCTCATGGGTCAGTGTTACGGGATGTGCATCACATGGCACATCTGATACACCACCCTCCCTCGCTCGGTACTGCTGTCCGCGCCCGCTCCTCTGCTCTGTGCCGCTACACGTGGATTCGCGGTGTGCTGCCGGGAGCAGCGCGGGGTGAGAGGATCGCGTCCAGCGATGCTGAAGGAAGCAAACAACACAAACATAGTACCCGACTGCATGCCAATCGCTGGTGGGGAGCCTACTTCCAGTGCACACCGGCCTGCATGTCGCACCTTCTGCGAGCAGCAGGAGCTGGACGGTTCCCTGCAGCCGTTGCCCTTCTCGGCCTGGTGCTACTTCGTGAAGCCGCCGCCTTTCTCGCTGCTGCGCAATCAAGAAGGGGCAGTGCCGCCAGCAGCAGCAGAATCTTCCATGGGAAGATCAGGAGTGGCATTGTGCAACAGCAGACGTAGATAGCATAAGCAGCTGCAGCGACTGCTGTGCTGTGTCTGTCTCGCCGTGCGTCGGACCCGCGAAAGCCTCCCGTTGTCGACTAACCGGGTATCCACAGTCTGTACATACTGCGTACCCCCCCCCTGCTAAATAGTTGCACCGCTTGTTGTGCTGCACCGATGTATGCAGCAGCTGTGCTTCGCTGTACCAGTACCAAAGCTACGCAGCTGTGAGAGCTTCAGGGACCAATGGCTTCAAGATCGCGCGAGCGCTCATCCAGCGATGGCAGCGACGCAGCTGAGCGGCTACACCGCCATAGGATGACCAAGCCCGAAAGCAACACCGCTACTAGCTGCCGCCGCTGCCTCTTCGATAACGTTGCGCCGCCGGTCCTCCTCTCCGCAGCTAGCTGGCTCCCCATCCGCGATCTTCTCGCCCTTGGCACGGTAGACCGCAGCTTTCGAGACCTCACCAAGGATGATATGCTGTGGAAGTTGGCTGCGGTGTTCCTGTTCAGATCGGCTCTAGTGGACGGGCAGAGTTCGCTGGTTGAAGGTGTCTCCGTTGGTCTCCACAAGGACGCCCCCGGTACGTGAGTTTTTTTAGTGCCGGCGCGTGGAAAGAAATCTGCCGACAACGTCAGCTTTGCGCATGAAGCGTGCCAGCGCCGATAGTTTTCGGGAGCGCTGAGTTCTAGCAAGCACAACTACTGTAGCAGCTTGTTTAGTCACTGCTGGACTGCTGTGGGGGTCCGAACAACAACACAATGTTACCGTCCTTCATTCGTTCCAAGTTTCGCGTCCAACGCAACATGTGCAGCAACCCCGGCCCACCCCGCCGTCGCCCCGGTTTCCTCGTTTGCAGGCAACCTCACGCTGCAGGATATCTGCCGCTGCATGGTTGGGGCGTGGCCGACACACATCGACCGGCATTGGCGAGCAGACGAGCTCCTGCAAGCTTCGATAGGTGGCGTTCTGCAGCCCCTCCAGGCCGGTGCGGCAAGCGGCGGCGTCAGCGGCAGCGACGCCGACCCAGAAAACGCTCAACGGGCAGATACAGCGCTGGCAGCAGGGCTCTGCGACGGCGTCGTGTTCAGGGGGGGGCTCGGAGGCGATCGAGCGGTAAGGGCGAACGTGCCGTTCCCTTGGGCCGGGTGCGGGCGCACGCGGAGCCAACGTCCACGTGGGGCAGACATGTCTCGCGGATCCAGCCTAGTCAAGATGGAGCTGACGACGTACGACAGGCCCGTGTACGTGCACTACCCGGACGTAGTTCTAGCGCGCGTCAAAGCCAGCGCACCGTTTGCGCTGCTTTGGCCCGGGCATGCTGCTGCTGCTGCTGCTGCTGGTCGTAAGGGCGAAGGCGGCAGCGGCGAGGACGGCCGCGGTGGAAATGTCGGGCACGGCGGGCTGGTCGACGAGAACGAGAAAGTGAGGCTGAAGGTCGAGCGGCTGCCGAGCTCAGGCCCCGCGCCTTTCTTCCACGCCGGCTACACGGCGTACTTCGAGATAACGCTCGGAAAAACAATGGAGCCGCTGGAGCAACCCCGGGATGAGGATTTCCATTTAGAGCAATGTGTGGCGATCGGCCTTGCGCATGACAACTTCCCTCTAGAGTGAGTGAGTCGGTGAGGGGCGGGGTCATTTGTTGTGATTAATCTTTGCTTCATCGCTGGACGTTCATTGCAGTTTTCCTTTGCTCCTGCTATCGTGGCCGTGCTGGTACAAGTTCGTTTGTCGGATGCATTTTTTCTCAAGAGCGAGGGAGACAGCGTTTGCCTTGAGAAGCGCGACATAATCGCTGCGAGACCAGAGACGATGTTCACTTTTTTTCACAGGAGCGTTCACCGCGCGCTTGCTCGTGTCCCTCGCCTTCGCTCTGCTCCGACGATAATGGACGAACCAGAGACAAACAACCCGGCTGGGACCGAAACAGCTGGGGGCTTCACTCGGACGATGGCTGCTTTCACCATCGCGGTGCTATCGCGCTTTCTGCCACGGCAGACCCGACAACCTTCGGCCCCGGGGACACCGTAGGCTGTGGCCTGCTCTACCCGCGGGTAAGACGATGTACCACAGCCAGAGAGCGCCTTGCGTCAACAAGCCCATACGGCCGCAACTCCGCGCTTCTCGTTCTAGACCGCATCGAATTCCGTTGGCTCCCATATTCTCCACGCGACCCCTCTCCCTTGTTACACAAGAATTCGCTCGCGCTGGAGACCGCCCGGGTCTCACATTTTCGTGTTCCCCTGCTCAGGGGCTAGCGCACTACGAGCATTGGCTCTCGGGCCGTGGCGGCGCGTTGCCGACAGCCGGCGAGAACGACAGCGGCGGCAGCAAAGGGGCGATCTTCTTCACCAAGAATGGCCGCTACCTTGGAATGGCATCCCGTCGGGTGAACGTCAAGGTATAACCGTAGCCAATGACTCACACCCTCTAGTTACTCTTGCGCTCAAATCCCAACCTTATCAGGCGCACTATCAATCGCCGTGTGGCGCAGCGTTCGGCTCTGGGTGTATGTAGTACGATTGGATAGGCTGACCTCCTCTTCGTATCGCTGACTCCGCTCCTGTCTCCGCCACTGCTGCCTTTGCCCGCTCCCACTCCCAACGAACCGACAAAGAGACCGCTCTATCCGTGTGTCGGGCTCGACAGCCACTGCTGCGTGGCTGTCAACTTCGGCGCCAAGCCTTTCGCGTTCGACGTACCCGCGTTTGAGGCGCTCTTTACTGGCGCGGCGCTAGGCTCTGCTCCCCCTGTGCGGGAGCGCAGGTGTCATGTGAGAGCCGTTATTCTTGCCCCCGCCGCACGAAGTTGAAGACATTTTCGTCCCTGTTCTTCTGAAATGCAAGGGGTTTGATTTGATGGGCCAAGGGTTCTCCACCCACACCTCGTCAATATTTGCGCTGTTGGGCTCAGATGGCGGTTACTGATGCGACGCACCCCTGACTCCCCCCCGCTCCCCATGTCAACTAACTTTTGGTAGGCGACTTCCCTTTGCGAACATCTACTGCTTTGTGGCGTTGCCTTTTTTACTCATTCTTGTGGATGGTTTGTCTGTGGCGTTTTCTGTGTGCGGTTGAAGAATACTTCGAAGTATTGTCTTGCTCCGAAACGCTTGGGGGTAAGGAATAAATTGTTGGGTGCGCTTTTACGAACTGATTAACCTCTCAATTGCAACGGTTAAGAGGAATAATCGTTTTTGTTCGGTGCACGTGGGTCAGTTGGCCTTTGTATGTTGTTGCTTCGTGTTTTTCCCGTCGAAGCTGGCGTGTTCAAGATTTTTTTACGACAGTAGCGTTGCGACTGACACTCTGATGTGCCTCCGAAGCCTGCACCATTCTGCATCGGAGTGAGTGCTGGCCTGATCGCTGTTCCCCTGTCCGTGAAAAACCGTGACAACGCCCCTGTTTGCGTGCCCCCCATCCCCCACCCCCGCGTGCTCGACAGACGGATGACATAAAGAAGGTGTACTCTGGCAGGAACGGCTTCACCAACCCCCGCGTTCTCTGCCCGCACCTGCGGCTGCAGCCGCCTGTGGATGAGGAGAGACAGAATGATGCTCGAGTCCCGAAGACAACGAGGAATGTTCCCAAGGGAGTCGGGGTCCTGGCGTCGGAAAGCGAACTTCTGCGGCGATCCCTGAAGTCCATAAGATGTGAGGAAACATTGCGCAACATCTCGAGCTGTTTTTTTTTGTCGGGAGAACAGAGTCGGTGCGATCGATCGGTGAATATCCCCGGCTGGCCTTAGCCAACATTCCACCATTGAACGCAGTTCTGTTTTTTGCGATGTGTTGTACCTGCACGTCCTTCATCACAACGTGACGACGGACGTATGTTGCGACCATTCGACGCGAAAGCAGTGTGAACGAAGGGTTTACTATGTCGATCTCGGCTGGTCAAAGTGTGTCTCATTCCGACCGGCGCTGCCCACCAGCACGGTGGCGGGCGTCGTGCACTTCTGAACCGGCCCCACTGGCGGTGCTTGATGGCAGCATGGTGTGCAAGTGCCAAGGGCTAAGAAACTCGATCGCCCCTTTCTTGCTCGTGCGTTCGTCGCCGCGTCCCTCCTCCCTGCTCAACCGCATCGTTGCCTGGCAGTCTATTCACCCCACGTCAATTTGCTTTCGGTTGAAAGCGACAACAGCGGTAACAGCAGCGACGACTCCTGGCTTATGTCGGAAGAGGAGTATACAAACATCGAAGAGTGGGAAGAGGAGGAGGAGGAGGAGGAGGAGGAGGAGGAGGAGGAGGAGGAGGAGGAGGAGGAGGAGGAGGAGGAGGAGGAAGAGGAGGAGGAGGAGTAAAACGAGTTGAAGGAAGGAGAAGGGAAGGAGCCGCCTGCTCATGAAGGACATGCAGAGTCGGTTGTGTTCTCTTCCAGCCCCGGGAGTGTCATCAACCACCAGTTCGGCGTGGGTACGCCTCGTATGGCAGGGGAAAGGTAAAACAGATGACAGCGGCTGCCTACTGGGACACCTATGCGTGCACGTTTCAGCTGGAGGCGTTTTTTCGTGGTCGGCGCGTAGATTCATGTCCCGATCAACTTCTCTGGGGTACATTTTCCTCCCGTTGGCAAGCACGCAGAGGGACCGGGGGTGGGTGGGGAGGGGGGACGCAGACGGGACAAAAGCTGAGAAAGAAGAATGGTGACCATGCGCCTTATGACTGCTGCGAGAGGACAGAATGTTTGACTGTACTTGCACATACGCCAAGCGAGACTGACCTGCTCCGCTTGTCTGTTGTCTTCAAGACTGCTGGAAAATGTGCTTGCTGGAGAAAATCCGTCCCACAATTGTCCAGGGGTCGCGGTACTTGGAGGAAATCTTCGTTTTTTGCGTATGGGGGGCAGCAAGCAAAAGGGTTAGTTCACCTCCTGGGTTTGTGTAGTCGTTCGCCTGTTGAAGCTGTAGAGTGGTCCCGGCACCTTGTCCGTGTCGTGTGTGGCGTGAGGACTGTCGTTTGTAGCGCAGCTACTTCACGGCGCTCCGCAGGCCGTGATGGATGCGTTCTCACCACTCAAAATCAAGAGAGATTTCACACGAGTGCATGGGTCGGTTACTTACGCTGTCGCTGTGTTGTCCGCTTTTTGCTTCGAAGCTGTGTCAAGCAGTCAAACGTGCACGGATTCATCTGATCCATGTTGGTGCTGTAGAAGGCGCGGGCAGACCGCGATTTGAGAGCAAGCAGAAATATACTTTTTAGCGTGTATGCAAGTGTTGCCCAGTCACTAGCCCCGTGTCTGGCAGGCATAGAACACACACAAACAATCTGGGATTCGAGGCTCCCACACGCCGAGAGACAAAACAATCTGGCATCATGGGACGTTGGGGGAAATAAAGTTAAATTTTGGGTTTCATGCGATCTGTGTAGCCTCTACTCACACGACCACAGGATAGGCATGGGACCCTGCTCAACATCCACAAGAACGGTAGTGCATCTGTTGGGGCTAATACTGCTAGCCAGCCCTGACGTCGACACACCCCTCTATTTTCCCGCACCACGGACAACATGCGACGGCAAAATTGATCTAAAAGTCCAGACAAACCAAATTGGCAACGCTGTTGGCCTTTTCACGGCGGCAACTTCAGGTGATTTCCCCACCCATGTCGCCGACCAACCATCATCAGCAAGGGCTGTATTGTACCAGTAAGCATACAACGCCAGGTGAAGGGTGGGAAGGGAGACAGCCGCCAGCGGCAAGCAAGGAGCGCTCGATTTTCATTCTACAAAAAACGGTTACTTTTTTCTATAAACACACCAGTACCGTCAGCCCAGCATCCACACATGCCCGCAGTCACACGAGAACAGAGAAACAAAACCTGGCCGCAGTATCACTGAATTCTTGTCAATGATAACAACTTCTTACAGCTCTCCTTGCCAGAGTAACCAACGCAAAAGGTAGGAGCATCTTGCCCATGGCAGCGTACACCTGTGCTGCGTCAGCCAAAATGCCGAGGTTGGTGGCACAGACTGACAGCGCCCGTGCGCAAACCCTCCCAACAAGCCGGAGAGGACACGGTATGTGACGCTGGGAGACAATCCGCACAAAAACACCCATCCTTTTGCTTCCTCCAAAAACAGAAAAAAACGGGGTCTCAATGTTGAAGATTTTAATATCTTCATGCCTCAGCCTTTTCCTTTTCTGCCGCCTTGGCTGCCTTCTTCGCTGCCGCTGCCTGGAGACGCGCAAAAGAAGGACGTTTGAGGGCAACATGTGGGGGGGGGGCGGGGAGGGGAATCAGACGCAGAAGCAAGGCTAAACAGCGCCAACGCAAGCTAACCGGTAATCAGCGGGGAGGGAAGGTGAACGTCGCTACCACGCCTGTGCGGCAGCGCTCGTGTGTACGAAACGTAAACATATGAGAGCAAATTCATGTATTCATTGGTCACAGGGCAGAGTACTAGGTAGGCTGTCAAGTCCATATCCAATTCGGATGCCATGTGCCCACGAGCTCGACAAGAGAACAGGGTAAAAAAAAAGTAAACATGAGACACAGAATGCCCCACCCTACCAATATATCAAAACGGGCGCAAATCTTCCCGGCCGAAAACGACAAAGGATGCCCTGAACTTCAGCGAGCACCGAACGTGAAGCATCGTTGGGATATCACCAATACAGAGGCGCCTCGAGTCTTGTTGATAAATGATACATGCAAAGAGATTTGAGTTGGAACAGCAACGTCACTGCTCCAAGCCAAATACACAACGCTGCGGTGACCCGTCAAATCGCACCATACACCAGACCAACACGCTGAATGCAGGAGGATTCGTGGTGATGGAATAGGCGTCATTTCAGCGTGTGTGGGGGGGAGGGACAAGGGGCTTGAAAAGAAAGGGCCGCCCAAACTGCATGCCTGCAAGCAAGACTCCCGCGTTTTCTCATTGTACACGTCACGTACCCACGCGTAAACGAGTGCTCCACAGCACCTCCCGCACCCGATCGAAGCCCACCCTCAACTGGTGTCATGATGGGTTATGTCGCCATATGCCCATCGCGCAACTTGCGGCAAAACACACACACAGAAAAAAAACGCAGCAAAAGACAGACGACCTCTTCCATCTCTTACCTCAATGCCCTGGTTGCGAAGGTTGTCCACGAAGTTGGACCCCTTGGCGACCGAGTGGTCGGGCTTGATCATGAGCAGCTTGGGAAGCTTCCAGGCCTCGTTCACGATGTTGCTGAGCTCGAACACCTCCTCCCCGTCCTCCATGACACGGCGGAACCGCTTGTACTTGGGGGTGATGAACACGTGCGCGTTGAACTTGTTGATCCAGAACGCCGTGTAGCTGTCGCACATCTCCCCCCAGGTCACCATGCGCAGCAGGCACTTGCCATCCGGCAGCGGCTCCACCTTGGAGGCGTAGTACTGCACAGCGCGGACGTAGTCCGTCTCGTCGAGCGGCACCTCGGTCTGGTAGCGGCTTCCCCCCGGCCTGTCCGGGTGCAGAGCGCTCTTGGAGATGAGGATCTTGCGCGGTCGGTCGATGATGTCTAGCGCCACGAACTCGCGGGTCTGGGTCGGGTACGCCCACTCCACGCGGTTCGTCATGAGCTCGTAGTCCTTCATGTTCTCGTACTGCGGCTGCGTTACCCACTCGTGGCGCTCCACGTTGCGGTGGTTCTCAAGGTACTCATCGATCGACTGGAAGCCCTCGCGAGAGACCTGGCATAGCATAACAACAGATTTGTGTTTGAAGCGTCGTGTGTTTGGGCAAAACCTGGTGCAACAGCGGTTATGATCGCGTCGTGGGTTACAGGGGGTTTATGTGCGGACAGCTGCAGCAAGCGAGGATGGTGAGTGGAGGACGGTCAGGGCAACAGACCTGTTGTAGCATAGCAATCGTTGTGTCCACGTCATGTGGGGGGTGGTGTGATATCTAGTGAGCTAGGATGGTGAGTGGAGGACGGTCAGGGCAAGAGACCTGTTGTACATGGCACTTGTTGTGTCCACGAGTCATGTGGGGGGTTGTGTGATATCTATTATAGTGAGCTAGGATGGTGTATGGAGGACGGCGAGGGCAAGCGGTCCAGTCAAAACACGACACGTGTGTGTCTTGCCGAGAAGCGCTTGTGGCAGGCGTTGGCCAAGCAACTGAAGGCCCTCTGTACGCAAGTGTCACAACCGGCGCCTGCGCAATCGTTGCAGTAGAACGACGTCGGTTCACTTGCACTGCAGGCGAAGTGAGCTACATAACGCAAAAAACTACAGCTCCACGAATCACGTCACTCCCCGTACAGTACTCGCCAAGCACTTAACGATCTTGAGTATGTTCATTTTCTTAGAAACAAAGGGAACAACCGAGAGAAATCGATCGCTCGACAAGAGCAGCATCGAGGCCCAGTTGCCGATTTCGCAGACGGATGTTTACGCCATTTCCCCCACTACAGCAGTGGGACGTTGTAAGATTTCCTCCAACTGGTTCCAAACGAAATTTCGGTCATGCAGCTACTGTACAACTTGCCAGCATTCCCTGCTTGTCCTCTGGCCAAATGGGGCGCAGTCTATGATTGTGGGTGCTAGCCTCTAGGTATCCTACTGTACACTGTACCCTTGTGGCATATCCGGGCGCGAAGACGAGAGCCGCCCAACTCCTGAAAACAACGAACAGATGCATGATTTCTGCCTCCACGTCCGCTTCCCGTACTTTTTGGAAGGAGAAAGCATATTCAACACTTAAGGTTCGAAGGGCTCGCCAGAGGTCCAGACGATTTCCTTGATATCGAAGTGCACCAGCCCGCCCGGTAGCATTTCTTCACTTGCTTAGCTTCGGTGTACACCGACGTACAGCCCCGCCAATCAACAGTAGAAACACTCACGGCTCACGGCTTTGTAGTGCAACCGACCAACAACTTTGGCGAGTTCAGGGTGACCCAGCATCAAGGTTGGAGTGGAGCTCGTTCAGTAGGAACAAACTGTCGTCTCGCACGTCTGTCGAGACACGGCAAATAATTTGACGGACCTTACGTTCTCACTCGGCGGACACGAGCGATGCACCGGCCTTTCATACTTCATGGTTCGATTCAGATTTTCCTCGGCCATGGGTCTAGCTTTGCTATATAATAGTACTGCCTGGCATCCACCGACTGCTGCAAGCGTAAAATCAACAACAACGAAAGCGGGTGGTGACAGCTTTTCTGCTGACGTCAACTTCGAGGCTGGGAGAGGAGGCGAGACCAATGTAGAGACCAAAACGCGACCAATACTGCCGACCTCGCCAACAACCTCCTCATCTACATGTCCATGTTGGAAATAGCATGCAGCAGCAGGAAACCGGTCCATGTATCTACTGATTTGTCGAAATGAAGTGTTCGTTCTACATCTTGTATTTGACTTCGACCTTCCTCATAACCCCGAACCCATGATATCTTGGAAAGTAAGGTGGATGTGTCGACTCGTCGAGGGGGCGGAAAATCTTCTTGACACGCCGATGCCTTCAGCAGGGTAGAATACTAGAGGAGCCAATTTCAATTTCATACAATATGCATACAGCAGTAGAGCGACCAAGAACAAACACAAAACTGGTAGCATGCACAGCAGCGTTACAGGGTTTTATAGGGTTGTTGAAAAGGCCCATCATTACACCGGTGAGGGGCCGAGCTATGTGCTTGTGCATGCGCGGCGCGCGCGAGAGACAACTAGAGATGAGGGAGAGAAATGCACCGCCTGCTGTCCTGTCGTCTTCAACACACACCAGCTGACACGGAACATACGAAGTGGCGGGGGGATGCAAGGATGCACCGCCTCTCGAAAAGGGCGTGAAAGGGCGTGAGCCACCATGTGTGATTATTTTACAAGAGCAAACTACCCCTACACAAATGTATGCAGACACAGACAACACACCACGTGCTGCTCCACGTAAAAGTACAGCTGGCCTTGTACCGTACGCCCTATATGTATCGGCGCCCTGCTGTACCACATACAATATACCCCCCATAGTCTGGTGATGATTATGATTTCTCCCAAAAAAACATGATTTGCTGCTCTGCGTGCATGCGCTCCTCCTGATCGTACCTGGAAGTTGTAGAAGTCGTCGCAGTCCGCGTTGATCGCGCCCAGCCCCCTGACCACCCTCACCCCGGACTTGAGGTACGGCCCGGCCACGTCCTTGGTCTCCACGAAGATGCCGTCGTCTTCCAGCACCTTGGTCCAGCCCTCGTCCGAAGCGAACAGGCGCTCGGCCTCGAGGATGCACTTGTCCGCGAGCGCGCTTGCGGTAGCGTCGTCCTTGACCATCTCCTCCCCAATGAGGTGCTCGCTCGTAGGGGTCGAGAGGGGCTGGTCGGCGTAGGCCTCCGGGGGGTTCACGTACTTGCGGATCCGCTCCTGCTCCAGGCGCTCCATCTTTCGCTGCATCTCCTTGGTCATGGGCTTGCCGGAGGGAGGAGCGGCGGCCACCATGCTGGGGGCCGCCGAAGAGGCCGTCCTTGTCTGCTGTGGTCGCACCGAAGCTCCGGCGAACCCGTTCACGCTGAAGGCGTCGACATGGAGGTGCTGCGCGAGAACAAGCAGCGCAGCGGCCGAGATGCGTCCTGGCGCCATGATGTTGTACTTGGTCACTTTTCCCCCTCTGCTTGGCTACACCAGCAGTAGTGTTTTGGTCGGCGCTCTATGCGGTGCAAGTGGGGAGGTGACGTGTACTTGATTGAACCCTTGGATATCCGAAAAAATGCACAATAACACACCTGCCCCCAGGTGTTGGGGGCATTTGCGAACACCGGGGCCCCTTTCGGAGCGAGCCAACGCCAACAAGCCAGCCGGCGAGCGACCACTGCTGTAGCCGCACAGCACCGCAGCGGTGTGCCAGCACCGTTGTCCACGTCTTACAGTTTTTCGTTGGCTGACTGCTGTACATAAGATGGCCCGGAGGTCCCGATCCTCTTGTGTCTCTTCCCGGCAAGGACCGACCATGGTGCTGTGTGCTGCTCGAGGCGCTGGACTTTTCATGATCTTGTGCACTAAACTCTCCGCCCCGTTCGTTCAAGTACAACAACCTGCCCGCGGCAGTAGTCCTCTCTCATCTACGACATGTAGGACAACAGCACCAGCAGGCTCGCTGGGGGGAGGGCTAGGTCTTGACGGCAGTGGTTCGACAAGCGGTGTGAGGCAGCGACGTCGTATCGAGATGACGCTGCAGGTGCAGGAGGGGTCAAGCGCAGCGGCAGCAGAAGCTCTAGCTGCTAGGAGCGCTGCCGCTAGCGCCGTGGCGAAACCGTTCGTTAGCCGAAAGCTCGGCAGCTTCGAGAAGATGCTCACGAAAACGCGGGACGGCGCTGGCCCTGCCGAGGACGGCGTTCGGACTCTAACTACCCCGCACGTGTGGGTAAGCATTTGATATGTGTGTTGGCACTGGAGGGTAGGAAGTAGGAAGAGAGACAGTCAGCCGGTCACGATACCCTTGTGTGCATGTTTAACACCAACAGCATATATCCACGCTGTAGGTGCTCGATCGAACCCTGGCAATGTGTAGGCGTGAGCCCAATCTAAGTGCATACCTCGTTGACCTGCTGTTTGCAGTTTGCGGCTGTGCGGCTTGTTGAAAAACAGAACTTCTGTATAAACATATGGATACACGCTGCGAAGCACCTCCCTCCTGTGGCGAGTGTGCCGCACCGAGTCTTTCGGAACACGGCTGTAGATACCGTACGCTGTTTCGCGTTTTTCTCGTGTGCTTGTTGCTCAATGACTAAATACTCGCCACCGCAGCCCACGACAGCATAATAAACCACGATCCTCTACGTTTTGGTTGTCTGCTTCCCACCCGATGTTTTCACTGAGGAGAGGGGGGGCGGGCGGGCCGCCTGGTATGTATACACGAAACCCTGTACTGCAGGACCTGCGATCGAGGAGAGATCGGCCGTCGGTGTTGTAGCTTCTCTATTTTGATGTGAATGCGCCGGTGGAAACGTGTGCGGAATACCTAAGAACCGTATGCCATACCAGAACCGAACATGCACCGCCCTTGACGCGTGTCAGGCCGCCGTGATCGACGGCGACTTGCCGAGGAGCTCGCTCAAGCGCGGGATCGAGGCGGTCCTCGCCCGCCACCCCATGCTCCGCGCTTGCATCCGCACGCCGGACGGGCCTAAGGAGCCGCTGATCAATATCTTGGGCGAGGAGCGGGAAGACGGGGACCCCCTCTACTTCTGCGAATCCGAGTGCGAATCGCTGGGGGCGCTAGCGGAGCGCGTCTTGGCCCCCGAAGAAGACGAGATCTCCGGAGATGAAGCTTTCACGCGGGAGTGGCGAGGGCGGCTCGAGCGCAACCTGGACAACGCGCGGTTGCCGGTGTCCGCGGGCCCGAATTGGCGCGTGGAAGCCATCCGCCTTTCTGGGCGGGGAAGGCCGGGTCCCCGCCGCCGCCGCACCGCCCTGGTGTGCACCATGAACCACGCCCTCGAGGACCAACGGAGCTCGAACGTGATGCTGCAAGGGATTTTAGAGGCCGCGGCTGGGAAGGCAAGCGGCCCCGCGCGTTCAGCCGATGATGCAGGCGGGTTTGATCTGCCCCCCAGCATGGAAGCTGCGATTGTGGAGGGAAAACAATTCCGCAGAAACACGCTGGGGTACATGTGGGACCAGGCCACGGTGGCGATCGCGCAACCTATGGTCGTACCAGACGGGCTTCCCTCTGTAGACGAGAGGAGCGAGGGGGGTGACGAGGGGCCGTTCGGGGTGTCTAGCCGCAAAAGCGCGTGCGAGTTTTCGTCGGTGCCGGCGGACGACGTATCTGTGATGCTTCAGGCGTGCAGGTACAGTAAGCGCAGGGGAGGAAACGGTCGCCGAACGTGGCACAGAATGTTAAAGTTGTCGTGGGGGTCGTCGGGTGTTGCGTTAGGTATGGTGTGAAAGACAGACGCAGCAGTTGTTGCTTGGACCTGTGGTGCGTTGTCTTATTTTCCCGCGTTCTCTTGTGGTAGACCGATCACCGGCAGAACACCGAATTTTACGACCTACCCGACCGTGCTGCAGCTATGTTCACGCGTGCCACCATGACCGCGGACGCATTTTAGAACTCCTAAGCGCTCGCCCAGAGGCGACGGAGCTGCTTCTGGCTGGATTTCCTGTAGGGCATGCTGCCGTTCTCTTGGGTCCTTACCGCTCACTCGCGTTTCCCCCCTTCCTCCTCCCTGCGCGATGATGATGACTTCTCGCCCTCCCAAGCAGAGAACGAGGGCTAACCCTGTCGGGAGCCCTGAGCGCCGCTTGCCTGATGGCGTGCAGCGACGTCGCCCATGCCGAGGGCAGCCGAGGGTCGAACCGTTACAAGTTTCTCCTGGCGGTTGACCTTCGGCGTTTCGGCACCGGGGATTACTCCGACATGGACGACTGGACGGGGGGCACCGTGGCGTGCGCGGGGGGGGCGATCGACTACGCGGTGAAGGTTCCCGCCGGGAGCGGGTCGAGGCTCGTGGGACGGGACGGGGAGGAGGCGGCGCGGGTGGCGCGGGAGGAGTTCTGGAGGCTCGCTGAGCGATGCAAGACCGCCACGCGGGACATGGTGGAGAAGGAAACACTGAGGTAGGCGACGAAGACCGTATGTATGTCATTGTCTTTGTGTGGTGATTGTGTTGAAAAGAATCAACGTACCGAGTTCCTCGTGCGTCTCAGCATTTTACGGCCTCTGTTTTGAGGACCGTGTAGTCACCTGGTTAGGTACCGGTCATGACTTTCGCATCGTGCAATCAACATGCTCATTGCTTCTCGAGTGCATCTGTAGGAACCACATTTCTTTCAGAAGACTATATCCGCTGGCTTCAGATGAACTCCCGCTCACGCAACGTTGCCGGAATGTCAAGCTTCATGTGAAAATGTCAACTTTTGGTGTTCATCGTTATGGCTTTATCAGGGAGGCGGTGGCAGTGTTCGACTGGGCGATGGAGAACATGAGCATTTGGGCTTCCGTCGACATCGAAAGTCGAAACGCTAAGACCCTCGGGAGAGCCTACACGTGCGGTGTCAGCAACATGGGGCGGTACCCATTCGATACCCAGGTGAGGTGGCCTTTTAGTAAAAGCAGTGCGGTCGGTTTCACCCTCTTTCCTCCTTATCGGTGCTATGGTATGATTTGTCTGACTTGGACGGGACTACGTAGTAGGCGTTCATTGCCGCTGTGTTTGCTCAAGAGTGGAAACCCCTAGGGATGTTCTGCTCGTATCGACTGCTAGTATTAAAGCGAAAGCGGCCTCGTCATCGTTGTAGGAATGATTTCCTCTGCTTGACCGCAACATTGCTCGGGGTCGTGATTGTCAGTCTTCCATTTTTCGCGAATAGCGATAACGTTTGTCTCATTCTCCACCATCGCAGTAGCCTAGATAACACGCGAGGTGTATCGAGTTGGTAGGGATTGTTGAGGCCATCCCCCCCACCCTACTACGTTGAGCACAGCAGCAGTTCTTGCAGCGATCGCGTCACAGATATTCTCCCGCGGGCGCTCTCAACGCCAGCGAGGGAGAGTATCCTCGGCGAGGTATTCTTACTTTTCACCGCCGCAAGAACGAGCTGTTGTAGGAAATTCGCACCATTGTGAGGTGGATGGCGAATACTGGTGGGAACATTTCCGGCGGGGTTTGTCATCTTCGTGCTCTTAACCCTTATGTGACTACAAGGCCGATTCAGCTCCGTTCTCAGCTCCGATCACTTTGCGTGCCGAAAGATCGCCGTTGTGCCTCGGCTAAGAGCAAAAAACATACATAGAGACCAGCAGGGAGACACAGGCAGCCCACCCCAAAAGCACGCTTATCAGCAATGCGCACAGGACTCACATAGTACAATACTATTCACCCATGCCTAATCTCTCTGACGTGGGGCAGATATCCTTTCCAGATCCAATCTACTGCCTACCGGCTGTCCAAGATTCAAACGCAAAATACCACCACTGGAGGGTACATACAGCACCCTGAACATGTGATCAACCCGGTGCCGCATCCGCGTGGGAGAGCAGAGAAAGCGCACACCGGAGCCGATGCTAACGTACTGCCTCGGTGCTTGATGTTGTTGTGATTGCGGTGTGTGTGGTTCCCAATATTGGGAGTGAAGGGTGGTTCGTCTGCTGTGTGCAAAATTTCGCTCAAAGGCAAGGGTTTTCGGGACTACAGCTCCGATCACAGCTCCGATCACAGCTCTCTATTTGCAGTACAGAATAGTTAAATATATCACGATTTTTATGCATTTTGTGCGATAGTGGATGATGGTCTCGATTCTCTGATGAGCGGGCCGTTTTTTTGTCGATCTGGCGCTTCTGTGAGGCGGTTTCCCGTCAGCGTCTTCGCATCTAGCGCCGCTAGCATTTGCGCTTGCCGTATGCTCTGTCCAAGGATGAGGTGGAGAAGATGTGCCAACAGGTATTGCTTGCACAGGTACATCCTCTGTGCGGATGGTTGCTGTCGGAGACAGGCATGCACACCTGCTCAGAAACTACTGCTGCTGTACAGCAGCCTATTTCTCTCCGCATAGCTGCTACTGCTGTACAACAGTAGTACTACTGTACTCCTGTTCGTCACCCTTACATATACCGCGTCCCCATCCCTGTGAGCGCCACACATGGACCCACTGCTGCACCATCCTTGCCGCCGTGATTTACGGGTGTACACTCATGCTTGGAAGATCTTTGACCGCAGAGAGCCAGTTGTGGGGAAAAAAACAAAAAAAAACAAATTAACCCAGTCACGTAAGGGTTAAAGGCAATGTCCTCGATGCGACCTCTCGACGTCCCACCGTTACCTCTTAACACGTTCTTGGAGGGATACACCTGTAGGAGATTGATTCCTCTACCTAAAACCCTCACCCATATTATTTACGTGTCGGTGCTGCCGAAACGTGTGGCGCGCAGGTGGGCAATCTTTCTCTCAAGGCGGTGCACTACGGAACGAGCCAGTCAGCCTGCGGAAGTTTGTTCCAGCTCAGCTGCGGTACGATAGACGGAGAGCTTTTCATGACGCTACAGTTTGCGGAGCCTGTCGTCACACGAGAAGCAGGGGAGGCCTACTTGCGGGGCATCATCGACAACCTGCGGGCCGCTTGCGTAATTTCCCAATGACCGGCGGAAGACACCGGTTGGTTGCGGTTTACACACACACACACACACCCCATTACTTTTGGGGGGTTGTAATAGCAGAGACTTTCAGCGGAGAATCATCGCTCAGAGCGGGCATGAAGACGTGGTTGCCCTGGTAATGTTCTCCGGGAGAATGATCACAGCCTCCTCATTACAACCCGTGGTTTGTTGTGCCGTTGTTTGACTTGGCGGTCGAGAAACAGTCCTCCTGTCCCCTGTTCCAAACGTGGACAGCAGTACGAGGCGACTATTCATCCCGTTGGGGACAGAGCACGGCCGGGAGCCAGGGTCTTGGGGGAGTGAACCTTTACGAGAGACATATCCGTAGCTAGAACTATCTTTTGATAGTTTCCCTTTGATGATGCTCACGAAAGTATGCTTACTCGAAGCGCACTGAGAAGCTGCTAGCGGTAGGGGTCAGGTTGTTGCCGACTATGTTCCCGGCTATTCAACTGCAGTCCGAGTGCACGGGAATTCGTCGGAATTCGTCGCGTCCCCGTCGATGCACAAGGGAGTCCGTTGCGAGAGCGCGCGCGGGCGTTTTGGTTGGGCGAAACTATGGCTCTTGCCGTTCACCGTGGTGAATGGTTGAGCACACAGCTGACAGATGCACGGGGGAGTTCATTGTTGGCACGTTGGCATCCCCTTCCCAACACGAAGGCTGCCGAACCCACTTGTCTCATCACCTCGTGCTTCGCACACAGAGCCCGGATTGCCACCAACAAAGTAGAGGGGCGGCTCGAGAAAGCTATCAATTCCCCCCGTGAGCTGGTTTTACGCTCTGACTTTGCTCTGATGAACGGGAGAAATGCTGCACCATCACACCTGTGGATTGCAGGCAACCTTTCACCAACCTCTAATTATTTTCAGCTCTCGGCGGGAGCACCTTTCAAGCCCGATATACAGATTCGTAGGATGTCTTCTTGTAGCTTTAGTCTAACCCTCCTAGTACTAGAAGCCCAAATGGGGACACTTTGGAGACACAGCACTCAAACGTCTATTTTCCGCACCCCCTGTAGTCACCGTCCGTGGGCTCGGTTGTGTGAAACGCACACGTGAGAACCCTTGGGTCTATTCATGCTTGGTTGGTGGTATGCTGTGTGTGTGTGATACGCTACGTATTGTTGTGCGATGCCTCTCCTCGGCCCCTGACTTGCTGTGTACACCATCTCCCAAGCCGCGTGTGTGCCCCCTAGGTCATAAAACTGTACATCGCTTGGTGTACTGAAAAAGTTGCTGACTTGGCCTCAGTATGAAAAGTTAGGTAAAAGTCAGGTCACTCTACGTCTCTACGTACAACAGCTGCTGCTTGTCGTATCATAGCTCCGATGCTTTGGAGGGACTGTAGCCCCTCGACCAATGGCTGACGCACTGACGAACAGTGTTTTTGGGATATTTTTTTGCGGAGGGACTGGGTACGGTGCGTACGGGTACTGGGTTACTGGGTACTGGGTACTGCTGTAGGAGGTAGGAGGGTTTAAAAGGTATTGAATGATTTGCCGATGTGCAAAATTGGAGATCGGCACTATGATAATCGGAGTTGGGCCTGCACAAGCGGGCAACAAACTCAAAAACTCCAGTATTTTACATGAGAATCTCTTTCACCGAACAGTCTTCTCTAAATAAAATGGATATTTTTCCGCACGGCGCAACAGCTTGCCGTAGCCGCAGAGCGCCGCAGCGATGTACCGGCACACCGGCACCCTTTTCCACATCGTGCGGTTGTTCGTTGGCTGACTGCTGTATATATGATGGCCCGGAGGTCCCGATCCTGGTGTGTCTCTTCCCGGCAACGGCCGACCATGGTGCTGTGTGCTGCTCGAGGGGCTGGACTTTTCATGATCTCGTGGACGAAACTCTCCGCCCCGTTCGTTCAAGTACAACAACCTGCCCGCGGCGGTCCTCTCTCACCTACTACGACAACAGCACCAGCAGGCTCGCTAGGAGAAGGGCTCGGTCTTAATGGTAGTGGTTCGGCAAGCGGTGTGAGGCAGCGACGACGTATTGAGATGACGTTGCAGGTGGAGGAGGGGTCAAGCGCAGCAGCAGCAGACGCTCTAGCTGCTAGGAGCGCCGCCGCTAGCGCCGTGGCGAAGCCGTTCATGAGCCGAAAGCTCGGCAGCTTCGAGAAGATGCTCACGCAAACTCGGGACGGCGCTGGCCCTGCCGAGGACGGCGTTCGGACTCTAACTACTCCGCACGTGTGGGTGAGCATTTGATATGTGGTGTGTTGGCGCTGAAGTAAATGTAGGAAGAGAGACAGTCAGCCGGTCGTCGCGACACCCTTGTGTGCATGTTTACACCAACAGCATATATCCACGCTGTTGGTGCTCGATCGAAGGTGGGCGTTGGCCGAATCTATGCAAGTATATGCATCGTTGACCTGCTGTTTGGAGTTTGCGGCTGCTGCAGTTCAGAAAAACAAAACTTCATACTGGAGTAAGGGTACAAGAGGCTGCTATTGTAACACCCCCTGGTGGAGAAAGGGGTCAGGCAGAGGGGGCTCGAATCATGTTGCAGACTGCTCTGAGGACTGCGGGTTTGAAGGGGGGTAAACCCGCCAAACCTCATTTTTCCTACATACACTATGATTGACTTATTGCACAACACCTGGGAAACATCTGGTACGAAATGCAATACGCCCATGTCTTTAACCAGAACCGAACATGTACCGCCCTTGACGCGTGTCAGGCTGCCGTGATCGACGGCGACTTGCCGAGGAACTCGCTCAAGCGCGGGATCGAGGCGGTCCTCGCCCGCCACCCCATGCTCCGCGCTTGCATCCGCACGCCGGACGGGCCTAAGGAGCCGCTGATCGATATCCGGGGCGAGGAGCGGGAAGACGGGGACCCCCTCTACTTCTGCGAATCCAAGTGCGAATCGCTGGGGGCGCTAGCGGAGCGCGTCTTGGCCCCCGAAGAAGACGAGATCTCCGGAGATGAAGCTTTCGCGCGGGAGTGGCGAGGGCGGCTCGAGCGCAACCTGGACAACGCGCGGTTGCCGGTGTCCGCGGGCCCGAATTGGCGCGTGGAAACCATCCGCCTTTCTGGGCGGGAAGGCCGGGTCCCCGCCGCCGCCGCACCGCCCTGGTGTGCACCATGAACCACGCCCTCGAGGACCAACGGAGCTCGAACGTGATGCTGCAAGGGATTCTAGAGGCCGCAGCTGGGAAGGCAAGCGGCCCCGCGCGTTCAGCCGATGATGCAGGCGGGTTTGATCTGCCCCCCAGCATGGAAGCTGCGATTGTGGAGGGGAAACAATTCCGCAGAAACACGCTGGGGTACATGTGGCGCCAGGCCACGGTGGCGATCGCAAAACCCATGGTCGTACCAGACGGGCTTGCCTCTGTAGACGAGAGGAGCGAGGGGGGCGACGAGGGGCCGTTCGGGGTGTCTAGCCGGAAAAGCGCGTGCGAGTTTTCGTCGGTGCCGGCGGACGACGTATCTGTGATGCTGCAGGCGTGCAGGTACAGTAAGCGCAGGGGAGGAAACGGTCGCCGAACGTGGCACAGCATGTTGTCGTGGGGTTCGTCGGGTGTTGCGCTAGGTATGGTGTGACACAGACGCAGCAGTTGTTGCTTGGACCTGTGGTGCGTTTTCTTATTTTCCCGCGTTCTCTTGTGGTAGACCGATCACCGGCAGAACACCGAAATTTACGACCTACCCGACCGTGCTGCAGCTATGTTCACGCGTGCCACCATGACCGCGGACGAATTTTAAAACTCCTAAGCGCTCGCCCAGAGGCGACGGAGCTGCTTCTAGCTGGATTTCCTGTAGGGTATGCTGCCGTTCTCTTGGGTCCTTACCGCTCATTCGCGTCTCCCCCCTCCCTCCTCCCTGCGCGATGATGATGACTTCTCGCCCTCCCAAGCAGAGAACGAGGGCTAACCCTGTCGGGAGCCCTGAGCGCCGCTTGCCTGATGGCGTGCAGCGACGTCGCCCATGCCGAGGGCAGCCGAGGGTCGAACCGTTACAAGTTTCTCCTGGCGGTTGACCTTCGGCGTTTCGGCACCGGGGATTACTCCGACATGGACTGGACGGGGGGCACCGTGGCGTGCGCGGGGGGGGCGATCGACTACGCGGTGAAGGTTCCCGCCGGGAGCGGGTCGAGGCTCGTGGGACGGGACGGGGAGGAGGCGGCGCGGGTGGCGCGGGAGGAGTTCTGGAGGCTCGCTGAGCGATGCAAGACCGCCACGCGGGACATGGTGGAGAAGGAAACACTGAGGTAGGCGACGAAGACCGTAAGTATGTCTGCCATTGTCTTTGTGTGGTGATTGTGTTGAAAAGAATCAGCGTACCGAGTTCCTCGTGCGTCTCAGCATTTTACGGCCTCTGTTTTGAGGACCGTGTAGTCACCTGGTTAGGTACCGGTCATCACTTTTGCATCATGCAATCAACATGCTCACTGCTTCTCGAGTGCATCCGTAGGAACCACATTTCTTTCAGAAGACTATATCCGCTGGCTTCAGATATACTCCCGCGCCCGTCACCTAGAGAATTTATCGCCGGACTGGCAAACTTCATGACAAAATAGCACTAATTCGGGTTCATTCTGATGGCTTCATCAGGGAGGCGGTAGCAGTGTTCGACTGGGCGATGGAGAACATACACATTTGGGCTTCCGTCGACATGCAGAGTCGAAACGCCAAGACCCTCGGGAGAGCCTACACGTGCGGTGTCAGCAACATGGGGCGGTACCCATTCGATACCCAGGTGCGGTGGCCTTTTGGTACAGCATTGCCGTCGGTTTCATCCCCCTTCCTACTTGTCGGTGCTACGATGTGTGTGACGTGGACGGGACTACATTCGTAGGCGTTTCTTGTGGGTCCTGCCGCTGTGTTCGCTCAAGTGTGGAAACCCCGAGGGATGTTCTGCTCGTATCCACGGCTAGTATTGAAGTGAAAGCGGCCCCGTCATCGTTGTAGGAATGATTTCCTCTGCCTGACGGTAACATTGCTCAGGGACCGCTCTTGTCATTGTCAGGAGTTGGGTGGCGAATACTGGTGTGGGAATTTTCCGGCGGGGTTTCCCATCTTCGCGCTCTTAAAGGCCATGTCCTCGACGCGATCTTTCGACGTCCCACCGCTCGTTACGCAGCATATTCGTGGGAGGGCGGGTCTGTAGGAGATTGATTCCTCAACCTAAAACCCTCACCCATATTTTTTAGTACGTGTCGGTGCTGCCGAAACGTGTGGCGCGCAGGTAGGCAATCTTTCTCTCAAGGCGGTGCACTACGGAACGAGCCAGTCCGCCCGCGGAAGTTTGTTCCAGCTCAGCTGCGGTACGATAGACGGAGAGCTTTTCATGACACTGCAGTTCGCCGAGCCCCTCCTGACACGAGAAGCAGGGGAGGCCTACTTGCGGGGCATCATCGACAACCTGCGGGCCGCTTGCGTAACTTCCTCATGACCGGCGGAAGACACCGGTTGCGGTTTACACAGACCCTCTCTCAAAAGGTTCGGGGGGGTTCAAATAATGGCACACGAGACTTTCAGCGGAGAATCATCGCTCAGAGCGGGCAAGACGACTTGGTTGCCCTGGTATTGTTCTCCGGGAGAATGATCACAGTCTCCCAGCAACAACCAAAACCGAAGGGTTTGTTGTGCCGTTGAAGTAGTCCTGTCCCTTGTTCAAAACGTGTACCTACAGTACGAGGCGATAATTCATCCCGTTGCGGACAGAGCACGGCCGGGAGCCAGGGTCTTCGGGGGTTGTGGTCTTCAAGAGACGTTTTCGTACGGATAAAACTGCTTTTGTCATTTTACTTTTTATATGCGCACGCGCAAGTGTACTTGCTCGGAGTATACTAAAGAAGCTGCTAGCGGTAGGGGTCGAGTTCGCCTACGACGTTCCCGACTAATGAACTGCAGTCCAAGTGCACGGAATTCGTCGCGTCCCGGCGACCGCAAGGGGGTCTGTTGCGAGGTCTTGCACGGGCGTTTTGGTTTTGGATGAACGACGGCTCCGCCGTTCAGCGTGGTGAGCACATAGATACGGGTGTGCGATGCGGGCACAGCTTGGAGAGCATGGGAATATGTGATTCCAAGTTGTTGTTGTGGGTGATTTGGCGCAATAACAGCAGCCAAACGGCGAACACTCAACGCCATGACGAGCTATACTGACGAAGCTAGGACTGCACCCTACTGTTGGGATCAAAAGCCATATTTCATTTGGCCAACACATCACCCGTATGCAATACCCACTGCAGCCGTTTAACGAAGTTATAGCCGTTTCCAAAAGACAAGTTTTCTGACGTCAGACGTTCACAAGGAATCAACCAAACTAACGGTGTCAAGGCGACGCGGCCGTCAGCAACGTTTCCGCAGTTGCCAAAAGTCCCGGCAGATATCCTGACCAAGCCTAAATTGCGACTTCCTTCAATAACCAGAAACCAGCGACGTCGTCCGCATCAGGATTGCTTTGCACTGCCACGAAGTGGAATCCCCCTAACGCTCGTTTCGCCTCCTCGAAACCTTGCGCTGGGAGAAAAAACACGGAGAATGTCCAAGCGACGATTTGGAAGGGAGTGCGAGGGGGTGAAGCGGGGGGTAAATGCACATAAGGGTGCGCAGCATGAGAGAAACAAGGTCGCTCACCAGTTGTGCTAGTGGAACACATCGGATATTTAGTTTGCCGGTGGAATCAGAAGCATGCCCATTGTGTCGAAGTCACCCACACATGTAATTTCCACACCGCCTACTCCAAGTATGTAGACGGAGCATGCAGATACTAGGACATCGATCATGCTGGATGATTCACCCCTGATTTATCTGTGGGTCGCTTGCTCATCCGCTTGCATCGTCCTTTTTCACGCCGTTGCGAATAAGCAACACACCATCGTGAACCAGCATAAGAATATGCTGGACATACGTGGAGGACGTTTACCTTCACACACGCCACCACCTCCAGGGCACTCCAGGATGACGTCCTACAACTCACACTTGAGCATCAGACACATCACTTACTGCCGCCAGCTATTCTCTCGCTCACCTTCTTTCCGCTGGTCCCCCTGGACTCGCGCGACAAGATACTGAGTGTTGATGCCGCACTCAAGAGCGAGTTCTCGGTTCTTGAGATCCGCCTGTCATGCCATCACACAGCCATCGCGGCGGTTGTCACGAACGAGCAGTCTGCAATGTAACCCAGCTCGCAGCTACTCCAATACACGACACGACTACCGCTGTGATCCCTCCACACACGCTCTCCAAGTTCAGCATGGAGCGCACTAAACGAAGACAGCAGGAAGAGGGGGAGGGACGATTGCGAGAGGATGGACGCAACTTATGGTAGGGCTGATTCCGAGGCATTTGGGAGCATGGTTTACAGTCCCCATATCGCCGTCGCAATGTATCTAAAACAGTCTCGGCAACCCCAAGAAGCAGTCATCCATGGTGGGTGATGAACACGGCAGCATTTTGACAGCAGTAGCTTGAGCAACTCCTTGTGTTGTCCATCTCGCGATAAACCAACGCATTCGAGGAAGCGGATATCGGTTGGAGTGCGCATCCTCCGTGTTAGCAACAGAACGCAAGCTACAGCAGCCTACCCTCGGAGATGGGACCTCAACGTGCAAGAAACAACTGCCGAACAAGCCTTACTACTATGTGTATGTGGAATTTTCCCCGGGTTGCAACATGATACTCCAACTGTACGCGAGGCCAATCTATTGCCCACCTTGAAGTAGGCCACCTCGAGGCCGGTCATCCAAGTGGCGAGGGGCTCAGCTCTCGCCGTGAACATCGCAAGCCCTGGGATCATCGCATCGTCCGGGAGGGATGCATCCAGCGGACATAGCCTGGAACCCCGGAAATTATTCGGAACGGAAATGCCAAGTCGAGGGTGAAGACACAGCGAGCGGCAGTGGCCGTTAGATACGCCTATCGTACGACGGTCAGCAAGATATCTCTTTAGTTGAGGGGATCAGTTCGAACAAGTACCATATCTACAACTGCTGCGATTGATTGTTGGTAGTATTTACAGAGCTAAAGGGTACGAAACGGGTCGATCGAATAACAATGGGCATACAGAGAACTCCTGCTGGACGAGAGAAAGCGCGCTCTCGAGGTCGTGGAACCTTAACCTTTCCTGAGAGAAACGAGAATCTGACTAGCAGCAGTCCAGGGTTAAGCTGGCGCCGCAGCAAGACACCAGCAGACTTGCACCACATCTCGACGCTTGTCGTTACTGTCACACTTCGCACACCTGCCGACCCCAACGTTTTCGTCATTGATGTTGCCCTGACGGAACTCGGACACCGGCATGGTCACGAAAGCGTACTGCTCTCCTCGCAGAGCATCTGGTAGAGGGGTCGGAGTCTTTGACAACGGTAGGTAATGCGACAAAGGGGCGCGCGGGGGACGAAGGCGTATGATGGTAAGCCTTGGATGGCGCTATTTTTCTATTTTCCGAGTCGCGCTTCTCAAGCTGCTCCCCACGCGTGTTTCTCTACAGCAAACTCGCGCGCGATTAGTACACACAATGTCACGGGGCCCTTGTGATGACCCCATGTTGGCAGGGTGGGGAGGTGGACGCGTTGCGTCGTCATGAGCAAAGCCGAATGCTCCGCGGCCAGGTTCGCGTTCCTCAATCTTGCATGTTTGACATAACGACATGTCGCCACCCAGCGGGGCAAGAAAGAGAAAGACAAAGACAACAAGGACGATTTGACACAACGATGTGTTGCCAACAAGGGGAGCAAGAGAGCGAAGGACAACAGCTATGCTGTAGCCACATCATATACCCACAGACATCGAGCGCTGTCCACAGAGCAAGCGGTCCGCTTGCAGGTGTGTACACGAAACGAAACAATAACAAGATCTCACCCGAATGTCGAAGAACGCCGGTTGCTTCATGGTGGGCTTGAACCCGGCCATGGCGGGGTACACATCGCGCTCGCGCTCCTCGAGCCACTGGTACATGGCGTACGTCGTCCTGCACGGCTTGACCGCGACCTCCACCTCCTTGAGGGCGATGTCGATCATGTTGAACATGGCGTTTCGGAAGAAGCGGATCACGGTAGGCTTCGAGCCCCCCGGCGCGGCCTCGATGACCCCCTCTATCGTCCTGCGCACCTCTCGCGAGTTCACCATGTTGCTGGGGATCGGCGAGACGTGGCGGAAGTTGCCCGTGGAGTCGCAGATGAGGAGCTCCCACAGCTTCTTACCGTCCGCCCCAACGACCGGCCTGGAGTACACGTCAAGCTCCCACTCGTTGCTGATCTTGGCGCCTGGCTTTATCGTCGTCTCCGCTCCAGCTCCAACACCCCCCTCTTTTACTGAAGGTGGCGTAGGCGACTCTGCCGGGGTGGACATGGACAAGCCCGTAGAGTGCCGGCGTCGGCAGCCCTCCCTTGCCCGAACATGACACGCGGGCTGTGTCCGTGCAGGTGCTGCTGCTACTGCTGCTGCGGTCGCATCATGTTGGTGCTGTCGCCCTGCAAGTCTTGGGGGTGCAAACGCCCCACACGGACTGGCCCATGAAGCAAGGGCTGCCACGATTATCAAGAAGCTTGACCTTGGCATGGTGTTGGTGATGTCGAACACAGAGCACAAGCCGCAGCTGAAGAGCTGCAGAGCACAACACAGGACAGGAGCACACAGCAACCCACCAGAGGGCGCCAGCGCGGGAGCACCGTGTGCGATTGAGAACCCCCCCCCCCCCCCCCCCTCTTGTGACCCTCCCTCATTCCCCCGTGTCGGCCGATTCGATCTGTCTCAGGTCCCCTGTCCCACTACACACGAAACTACACGCAAGACACGCTGCGCGCGTATGCAAGTCAGCGATGGTTGAACGAGCGAAGTGCTGCTCAAGGCCGGCCGTGCTACGCCGATGCAGAGTGATATCGTGCCTGGCCATCCCTGCCTTTGGGGGCGCATTGACAACGAGTCCAAATCAAGGGGTACGTCAAGACTCGCACGTTTGCCGCAAGTGCAGGTTGATCTCATGTGCCATCTGTGTGTGTCCAAACCCCTGAGATATACTATAGCGTACTCGCGTGGTTCCGTTAACAGCGTGTGCACATGATCGAGAGCGTCTCACTTGCGAAGATGAACTTGGCCTATGTCTTATGTCGCAGACTTCAAACAAACGTTTGAAAGAACACATGGAAGGTCACGACACTGCTACATGTACTGCTGTAAGCTGTGTACGTACACTGGTGGAATAGCCTTGAGGTTGAACATTGAAGGGGGGGCCAACATGAGCAGCAGCGGAGCAGCGGCCCATTTGCCTGCCAAGACCTGCCAAGAGCAAGTACGTACCATGTAGGTTTCGTCTAATCCAATCCTTCTTGCTCGTCCTACCGTCAGCAGCTGGATGTCGCTATTGTTGGAGGTGGAATCGCTGGGTTAGCGAGCGCGGTGTCTCTTCGCGCCATAGGAGGCGTGCGGAAAGTTCGGGTTTTCGAGAGGGGCGAGGGTTTTGGCGAGTACGGAGGTTTCGGACTGGCTCTTTGGCCCAATGGCCTACGCGCGCTGCGACATATGGACACATCGCTGCATGACGAGGTGGTGAGATCTGGAAGGTGAGGGCTTGGTTGCCCTTGGGGGGTCTGTATGCGTGTGCGTCTGTCGCGCGTGTACACGCAAATGCTTGCAAAATGTTTCAAGACAAGCTGTTTATCATGCCATGCTTCATCTCCGGTGCTCGAGGAATCTTTCGGTGTACAGCAGTAGTGTGCGTAAGGAACAAGCCTGCCAGACATTAATTCACACGTTCCATCGAGCCGGGAGGACGGCTCCCCCATCCAAGGCTTCTGGTGCTCATGACAGCAACCACTCGGTAAATGAACGACTTGGCACTTCCACAGCACAGACACCGGAGGGTGTAAGCATGCATACAAATGCGCCAGAAACGCATGAGAGCAGCCAGTCGTGGTAGGTCCGAGGTGTGGGAGTGTGCCTACGAGAGAGTGCCGCTTGCGCAAGGCCAACTCGTTTACCCGGTCTCTCTTGCTTCTCCCCCCCCCGCCATCCCCGCCCCGACTGCTGTCCGCGGCACCCGTCCGCGACTCATGACTCTCGTGCAGCGTGATCGGGGAGCGGATGTTCACAACGGCCGAGTCCACGAGCATCGACTACTGCAGGGAGAGGGAGGCGTTCGGGCACCCTATGCTCTGCCTTCGCCTCCTAAGCCTTCACAACGCGCTCCGCCGGACTGCCCTGCGCCTGGGCTGCGATATCCTGTCCGGTATGTCCTGCGAGAAGGTCTATCCGTCCCTGGGGGAGGATGGGAAGAAGCGGGCGGCGTTGCTCATGGCCGTGGGGCAGGGACTGGAGGAGGAGGAAGAGGAGGAGGAGGTAGTATTGGCCGACTTTGTCATCGGTGCTGATGGTTTGAACAGCGTCGTTCGAGCGCGCCTTGGGGGTGAGTGAGGAGCGAGTCCGTGCACCGTTGGGGGTTGATCGTCTTGCTGAGAGATTGCGTGGTACAGCTGTAGAATGTGATGCTGGCCGTGGGACGTGTGGCGTGTCGTTCGCAGTCTTTTTGTTCCTTTTCATGACATTCGTCGTCATGCCTCACATAAAACCGCAAACTGGCCTCTCAAGTGCGTTTTCAAGCAAATGTTTCCCCGGTATGGTGGAACTTCGCCATGACGAACGCGCTTGGTCTTGTTATCTTGACGCTGTTGACAATCTTGACACTCGAAACGGCATGTGCCAGTCACGAGGAAAAAAAGGCCCATGCGGCTGGCCCTTTTCGTCGACATGGAACGTGGTGGCCACTGGAAGCAAGCTAGTACAACACAATGCCCGTATCACTCGCGACAACCATCATCTTGGAGCCGTATCCAGTATCTTCCTTTGTGTGACCCCTCTCCCCCCCACACACCTTCCCCATATTGTTCGCGCAGACGACTCGAAGCCGCGCGACACGCACTGCGTGTGGTTTTTCGGGATCGTGGGGCACGCGGCATGCCCGATACTGCTGCGGAGCCGAGTGCACACGTTTTTTCTCAGCGACCCGACCAAGGCGGCAAGCTTGATGCCGTGTGGCGACCACAACACCTACTGGGCGGTGGCGCTCACGGGTGACAATATCAAGGTGTGTGTGTGTGTGTGTGTTTTTTTTTTTTTGTGTGTGCCACGGACTCTTGATGCTCACCGCGACGAGACTGCGGTATGCGTAGTAGACGACGCCCGTGAGCCGGTGTCGAATTTCAGCAAAAACGTTCAGGTCGCCCAAGAGGTTGGGTTGCTCATGAGAGACGGCGATCCGCGATAAACCGGGCCGTGCAGAGCAGGACGGTGTTTCCATTTGTTGCCCTTGGTGTGAACCTCGGTGCTTCGTTGTTTTGTCCGCCTATGTCCCTGCTGTAAAAATTTGGCAATCATCAGGAGGCTATGGCGTTGAGGGGTGATGACCAGGAGATGAAACGCTTCCTGAAGGCTCAATTTGGAGAGTGCAACGCGCTGGTGAAACTCATCGAAGCAACACCCCCACATCAGGTCCATCGGCGACGTATCGAGGTGAGCGAAGCAGTGCGTTGAGGCCAAGCGACTATTATAGGGTAGGGTAGCATCTTGCGTCTCTTCTGCAGCGACGAGGCTAGTCTCGACACAGCAAGCCATTTCGATGGGTGGGTCTTGGCCGCTGTGGCCACAAACCCATTTTCTCGTCGTGCGCTGTCGCCCCGAAAGAGACCCGATCTTTTGCAAGACATATCCGGTTTCACTACACTTTGCTGGCATGGCGTATATTTTCTGTAACGAGTCGTCCAACCCGGCGTACAAGCGCGCCACCTCAGGAATGTGACCTTCCTGTCTCTGCAAAATTGTCCGCTCAACTACCCTAGGATCGTCCAGCGACGAAGTCGTTCGTGTCCGGCGCCGGTCCAGATGAGTTCTATTCCGCCCTTGTCGGCGACGCAGCACACCCGACGCGGCCGTCTCTGGGTCAGGGAGCCAACATGGCGCTCGAGGATGCGGTGCAGCTGGCCTTGGTGCTGCGGGAGACGACGTCGGTGCGTCGATTTACGGACAGTCATAGACGTGTTTCGGCATTTCATGCGCAAGACAACTACATAGCTCGTTGTCTTTTTGCAGTGCTAGTACACAGAGACGGGGTTGTACCTCTTCTGTTTTGCTGGGTTGTCGAGGCGTTTGTGGGATTTGCCCTACTGCTGTACGCCGCTGCTCCCAGCCAGACTTTGGATGCGCCAGGCACGGGCCAGGTTTCTCCTCGCCCGCCGTGCTTGCTCCCCTAACGCTGCCTCTAAAACCCGTCGGGATCCCGGTCGCCTTTTCGCGCACGCATGACAGATAGAAGACGCTCTGAGACAGTACGATTCCGCGCGGGTACTCCGCTGCGCCAAGCTCCAGGGAGACTCCGACTTCGTGGCAGAGCAAGCCCTGAAGCTCGGCGAAGATGATTGGCCCGCCCACGGGGGTGACGGGCAGGCGAGCCGGAACAGGCCCGCCAATAAGGGCATGGGCGATGCCGAGTTTGTCTATAACTGGGAACCGTTGAAATTGCACCATTTCCCTTGGCAACCGAAGTAGAACCCGTGTGGTGCTCCTTGTATTGTATGGTTCAAGATATACGATAGTTAAAGCGAGGTGTGTTGTTGTGTGTTGCGCGGTTGTAGCTTTGAAGGCCGGTTCTTATTGTAGGGTGCCCATGGGATTGTTGTTAGATAAGCCGTCCTTGAGCAGTGCGTGACACGTGAGCGGTGCCCCTGTTTCCTGTATATTTTTTCGTTGTCACAACGAATGCAATGAGGAGAGGTTAGGAAGAGGTCGTAGATGAACTCTGGTTTGTAAGTACTCCTCTCTGTGAGAGGCGTGAGTAGATGGTGTAACGGGCGGTGTGAGCGTTTCCGGCGAGAGAGACTAGAAATACACGTGGATATGTGATTGTGTGCGCCCAAGGGAAGCAACAGAGACGGTCCTTCCTGTCTGTGCATGTTGTTTGTTGGGCAGAGTCCCCTTTGCGATGGTGATTGCGGCAAGTGTCTTGGTCTGTTTTGATTATGCGCCGGGGATGCTGCGAATGACGTTCGTGTTGTGGTGTTACAACCAGGTGGATCTCGCTGTTTGGATACAGCCATGATCTGTCTTTGAGACAACTTGATAAATTAATAAACTTGTCAGCGACGTTCCGTTCGCGGGCAGACAGGCCACAGAGCAGGCACGTTCCGGTCTCTATTGTATGTTTGCATGCGGGTGAAGAAACATAAGTCGTGCTGCGATGCGTGAAATACTCGGCGCGCCAAGGTGGTATCATACGTGCCTCTTTGTGGTATGAGCTCTGATATTTGGCGGTTTATTGGTGTTGACTCCTCTTCTAAAAAGATCGCTCCAATTCTTAAATTCTTGTGCTGCTTTCCAATCCTACCGTTGCAGGTCTAAAAGGCTAAACGTCTCGATTGACACAGCCCTTGATACAGTACACGGTCGAGATGCAACCATCTTGTTCGCTTGTCCGCTTCTCACCGGGTGGCTAGCTTTGCGCAGAATACTCTTTCACCACCCGCAAGTCTCTTCTCAGGACGCAATCACCCGAGATTTTTTTTTTTTTCACAAGTATGAAGATACTACAGAATTACAGAATATTCTGTTGTTGTCGCGAACAGCTCTGTATCTTGGGGATCAGAGGTTTGAGGGTAAAGTCATAATGGATTCAAGGTTTAGCTGACTTCTACCTTGCGTCAAAACTGCATTTCACATTTGTCGCGGCGCCGGGGGCGCAGTTTCCCGTGGTGGTTCGCTATGTTTTCAGGTTGTTTTGACCGCCGGCATGTGCCCCCCCCCCTCCCATCTAATACGCGTAGCCCCTTCCTTTTTTTTTTTTGCTCTTTCGTTGCCAGGAGGCTGAACTGCCGACCCGCTCGTCACCTCGCTGCTGTCCCCTTCTTCACCGCCCTCACGAGTTCACTCTCTCTCTCTCTCTCTCTCTCGATCTCTCTCTCGATCTCTTCCTCTCCCTCGACCCCTCTACAGCTTTAGTAGACTCTTGTAGGGGCGGCCGTGCCCTATCTCCTCGACCTGAACAGCAGGCGTCATCCGGCGTCAACAAGAAATGCCTCCAATGCACCCAGGGCAGCAGCCCAAGCGACGAAGAAGGAGGCGCAGGCCAGGGGAAGAAGAGGAGCCTGTGCTCCGGACCACGTGTGATGCATGCACGTCGGCAAAGGTCAAGTGAGTCATAACTGGCGTGTGTCATCTCTTGTCGGTATCATCCATGTTCAACTCGTTTTCTGCTCTGGTTTCGAGATGTAGGGTTCGTTGAGGCTGGCTTCAAGAGGGTGATTTCAAAGCAGCCCCCCTCATCAACAACATTTTGCCTGCAATCATCAAGTCAGCGCTGAAGGTTGTTGCGCTTGCTAGCCTTGGGAGCTGCTGCCAACCTGAGTGTCTTTGTAGTGTAAGATGTGTTGGGCCAGTTTTGGCCAATTCAGTCTTCTCGGCAAACGCCCGAGGACACTTTTCTCTCGGAGATGGTGGGTCGCCGGTAATGGTATGAAGAGAGCCGGGAGAGCAAAATCTGACGGCTCACACACATACAACGCTGCTGTTTTTTGTCCCGCACGACAGCCTGCGTGTGTGCCTACGGCGGTTGCTGTAGTTCTGCCCTTGTGTCCGCGAGGTCGACTAAGCTACTCTTCGTACAGCTATTGAGTGGGCTTCTTACAGGTTTACCAATGTTGATGTATGCTTACGTGTTTTTCAGCGGTACACGGAATGGAGTGTACCGCACAACATGTGTCCCGTGTCCAGGACGATACAGTAATATTATTGCTGTCGCCAACTGCTGTCAACCATTCCAACGGCGTTTTTTGTCATCATTGCAGCGCCGTTTAATTCTCGCATGCTACAAATAGTTTGGTGAGCTATTGCTCGTGCGAGGTACGCCCTCACAGCAGCAGTGCCTCGCACATCGACATGGGGGCACCATCCACAGCAGCAATATTGTATATGGTACATATTGTACATAGGCCGCACGGGTCAATGTCGCACTCTATCAATCTTTTTTACTGGAGAAATTGCGTGCAGGCGTGGCGAGTGGCAATGACCCGAGGGCTCCACTCAGGCCTACTCGGTGCCATTTTTTCGTGAGAGACACGACGTGTGCATGCGCACATTCTGCTACACCTCTGGTACCATTGCCGCCTTACGGTCAACAAGCCCTTGTTGTGTCTCGTGTTGATGGTTTCGCCGGTGCAGCGCCCGTGGAGTCGCAGCAAAATCTCTGTGAATGGGCAGCAGCAATTCCCTTGTTGCCTCTGGCGGGGTCTCTTCTGAAATCTTGCACATTCTTGGGCGTGTGCGGCAGTTTGCCAAGTCTGTCTCTCGCTCCTGCTGTGCTTCACGCCACCCTTGGCGCAGCCGAGGTCTCAATGCCCGTGGTCTTCCAAAACAGCAGTGGCAGGTGGCACCCTACAGAACTATTATAGTAGGAGAAACTACAGAGCAAACAAATGGTGTGTGTGTCAGTGTCAGTTAGTCCATCAAATAAAAGGCAAACGGCGCCGACAGCTTCAGGAAGATAATGGAATTACTTTACCGAAGCCGTGCCACATTTCTCCGTCTTCCGTAGTAGGGTCGTGCAGTCACGCCTCTCATTCACAAGGCTTCCATTGAAATATGTGGATACCATCCAAAGGCTGCAACAAGTTTGTGAACAACGCGGTTGCGTCGTTAACCGCACTCATCCCTCGGGTCATCCATACGCACCCTTGCTTATCCGTTCTAAAGTACTAGAATTAGTTGTTCCGAAAGTTTTCACAAAAAAAAAAGAGTGCATCTATCTCGCTCCCTCTGCCTCAAGATTGTGGAAGATTTTCGAGAATTTTTTCCTCATGCAACAACGCGATCTGCTCTCGGGAATTCGGGAAGTGCTAACCACCTTGGCCGGAAAAAAATGTTGGTATGCTATGCATATCGACTGCCAACAAGTTTCCCACCCTGTTCGTATCCCAATCCCAACCCTCACGACCAGCAGTTGCACACATTGTACGTGCGCAGGTGGAGGTATTCCAGCATGGAGACATCAGTGAACATGAAGCATTTTTAGGCGAAGGTGGCATGCTCCACTTCTGCCGCGGTCTTTCAAATCCCCCTCTCATGCACTGACGGATGAATTAACAGGGATGCATGCCTATTACGCCGACGGACGAATCATTCGTTCCGCCCTTGGTCTGTCAGGTGCAACGGCGAGAAGCCATGCGTGCGCTGCAGCAACAAGAACATCCAGTGCGAGTACACGTTCAAGAAGCGCTGCGGCCCGAAGCGGCGCAAGGGCGTCTCCGGGGACAGGAACGGCGGCCTGCTGGCTCCCTACCCGGACGGCTTGAACGGCAGCAAGGTGGTTGGCCTGAACGAGCACCTCCGCGGGGAGCCCACTACCCTCAACAAGGACGAGGTCGAGTGCGTGGACGTGTTCATGCAGAACATCAACTCCTTCCTGCCGCTCACGACGATGGACACGGTGAAGAGGGCAGCGAAGGCGACTGCCCCTGCGGCCGGCGGCGGGGAGGGCAGCGAGGAGGAGGAGGAGGATCAGCATGACACCGAGACCGAGGAGCGCAGCCAGTTCCACCACGCAGGGAAGGCCATGCTCCACGGGGCCATCGCCCTAGGGGCGGAGTTCCTCGAGAAGGAGGAGGTGTCCGTGACGCGTGCCGTGGCTGCCCGGGAGGAGATCAAAGAGTGGTGAGTTGCAGTGCGGAGACGGAGCGGGCCTGGCGTTGGCCCGGCGGCGCTGGGTGGGACGATGTGTTCTTAGTGTGGATAAATAGGCGAGATGCCCCGTTGGCATGTGTGCTGGTCGACCCTTTGTCTGGCTGCTGTGTGTAGTGTTGGGATGGTAGGAATCGATTTGCCCTCTTGGGTTGTTGGCGAGAGCGGGAGAGCCGGCTCGTTGTTGGATCCCGCCCCGCGTTTCTGACGCTGTAAATATTCAGCGCGTTATTTGGTTTCTTGTTACCGTTTCTCTGCTGGTGGCCGCTCCGTTCGATGCAGCTTCGACGCTGCAGCACCGGAGCTGGTGGCAGCGCACCTAATCCTGGCGCTGTACTGGACGCACCAGATGGATTCTTCTAAGATCAACCGCTACATCGGCCTCGCGCACCAGAGCAATGACATCCTTAGCGACTCCCCCGGCGCGCTGGTAGCCTCCTTAACTTTCGTCAGCGTTATTCTCTACGACGCCAAGGTGAGCAAAAAATGGGCGGCAGGGGACGAACGATTTGCTGAGTTTTTGGCGGGTGTTTGTTCGATCCTGGCGGGAAGGAGTGCCTGGAATCATTAGCCTGATCATGCAGATAGATGGCTGGTACGGAAGGTGGTCGGGTGAAATAGTCCCATGGGCTTTCGAACACGCGGTGTGCAGGCATACGTCGTCTCAGGCTTGCAGCTGCTTAGGCGCCGAGAATAGATCGGATAGTTGAAGACAACACCCATTGCTCCACAAAGTTGCCGGGCAATTGTTGTTGCTCCGCTCTCCGCAATCCAAATTCTACACTTGTTTGATGGGCAGTTTACTAACCGTTTGTTACTTGACGAGCACACGCCGGGCACACGTCCCGCGGTGAAGCCCGTTCCTCTCAACTACGGCACCCACGGACCCGTTGTTCTACCACCTCTTGCCCTCTCACAGAAATGTGTTTTACCGGATGTGTCTGCTTTGAGCACACGGCTTTCTTGGGTGATTCGGTGCCCGGGGCATTGTCAGTATGTATAAATAATCTATGTGTGATTTTACTCTCTCTCTCTCTCACACACCACCGCTCTCTGGGTTGGTTCAAGGATTGTCGGATGACACGAATCAAGGGCATGCTACACTCGCTATTTCACCGCACCGACCCATGCGTTTGCCCCAGGGTGCTGCCTCCCACGGATGTTGAGTGTACTTCCGCCGGTGGTACCTGCTTATCGCGTAGCTTGGGATTGATGTATTGGGGGCGGGGCGGCGAAAGCCGCCATTCGCCTCGTAAAATTACAATGTTTCATGTGTTTGCTCTCTCCCTTCCTCTGTGTGTGTCTCTCTCTCTCTCTCTCTCTCTCTCTCTCTCTCTCTCTCTCTCTCTCTCTCTCTCTCTCTCTCTCTCTCTCCCTCTCTCTCTCTCGTCCTGGCTCTTCCAACACAGGTGGTGAGCAGCATAGGGTGCCTGGTGAAGCCGCCGGGGTCGTCGAACCGTGCGGGCATCCCCTCGTCCAGCAACCCTGCCGCCTGCCAGGAGCGCGTGCTCAACATCCTGAGCTACGTGTTGCTTGCGATCCACAACCGATCGTCGAGGTCCAACCTGGCGGGGAACCCCGCGATGTCGACCGGGGACTGGGATCCGAAGGCGATGACGGAGCACATCTACGAGGCTAAGGCCCTGCTGGACAAGGGGTCCGCGGGGGGCGGGCCTAACGACATCTCCCGGTGCATCGTGGTGGTCCTCCAGGCGTACTTCCTGCTGCTGACGAACAACCGCCGGCAGGCCATCGTGATCACGGAGCCCCTGGCGGACCTGGTCGCCGACAACCCGCTCGTGCTGCGCCTGCCGATCGTCTGGTCGCTCGTAGGGTGCGTGCGCGTGCTGCTGGACGGGGCGGACCGAACGATCGCGGTGGAGCGGCTGCAGTCGGCGATGGCGCCGCTCGCCAACCACCTGGGGTTCTCGACGGACGAGAGCCTGGTCGAGCAGGAGCTGATGAGCGTCTTCAATGGCAAGCAGGGGTTGACAAAGCGGAAGGGTGCGACGACGGCACCGTCGGCGGCGGCGGCGGCGGCTTCGGCAGCGGCGTCTCAGGACTTGGCGGCCACGACTGGCGACATCCTCGTGAGGAGCAGCAGGTGAGAGCCAGTGTAGCTTCGAGCGGCGTCTGTTGGTTGTGGTGCAGGGATGAACCAGCAACCGATTTCTTGACCTTGTATCGATGCACGTTCTGGGCTGGGGAACGCATCCAACTACTTTGAAGTGCTTTGGACTGCTGTGTTTTTTCGTGTCCTGCTTGTGACCCCCGGGCTACACCCATCCTCCGTGGAGAGGGTGGGTGGTTTCGACTAAACGGTTGTCGCTGTCCGTTGCCGTTCAAGCTCACCGTGTCGTCTTTAGCTCTTGGGGCATACACGCTACTACTGTACGTTAACCTTTCCCTTTTCGGTATCGGTGTTCCCTCAGGGCCCAGACTTCGTCCCTCAATGTGACGGCGCAAGACTACTCCCACCGTGGACGATCGACGATCAACATGCTCGCCCTGGAGCCTTCGCCGGCCCCACGACGGCGCGGTTTACCCACCTCGGCGACCAGGCAAGGTGGCTCTGCCGCCGGCGGCGGGGGCGGCGTCGCAACATCCCTCTTGTCGGCGGCGATGGTATCCTCCGGGGAACCGCCGGTGGAGGCGTCGTCCCCTCCCCCGTCGCGGGCGGGCGCGCTCACCAGGCTGCCGGCGGCCCGCGGCGGCTCGCTGTCGATCCCGACCCCTTTCGTCCCGAAGCAGGCGATGCTCCAGCTCGACATGCCGTTCATGGGCAGTTCTTTCCTGAACAACAACCCGCCCGCCGCTGTGCAGCCAGGCACGGACGGCGTGTCGGTCATGATCAAGAGGGACCTGGGCCTGCCTCAGCAGGGCGGCCACGCCGCCGCCGCCGCCGGGGGGGGGGGGGACGAGCCGAGAGAGAGGGACGAGACCCTGCTTGACAAGCTTGACGTGAGCCGGGCGCAGATGATGAGGGAGCAGCGGGAGCAGCAGCAGAGCTTTAGCGCCGACGCGCCGGTGCCGTCGTTGGACGAGGCTGCCGGCGAAGGGGACGGGGCCGGGCTCGAGGACGAGGACGGCCGGCAACAGAGCTTCAAGGCCGACGCTCCCGTTACCCTGGACGACGGCGTCAAGCTCGGGGAGGACCGGAGGGAGCTCATGGCCAAGCAGCAGGTGCAACAGAGCTTCGTTGCGGACGCCCCGGTGTCTCTCGAGCAGGTGAGAGTCTCAATGTACAGCAGCAGCAGCAGCAGCAGCAGCAGCAGCAGCAGCAGTACAACGTGTTAGCTTGTCTTGGGTGTTTTCTGTCATGATGACATGAGACGCTGATGGTGGGCCGTGCGGTCCTCTGATGGATGCGCATGGTATCTTTGGTGTATTGAAGTCACCCGAGGGTTTCGATGAGGGATCTGTCAAGACGGCGATTGCAAGCTACAGAGTAACTTGAATGCAACATCTGAATGCAACATCGAGAGTCGATCATAACATATCCCACTTGTTGATCTCCTAATATGTGGGATTTGAGACGTTAACACCATAGTCCGAGACGGTAACCCATGTGGTAGGCTTGCACCTCCCGCTTTTGTAGACCTCTCCCTCAGCAGCTAAAAACATCACACGCAAACCGCATGTGGCTGTGTGGTTGGCTCACTCTGCTTCTACCCTGGTCAGGGCCTGCCGATGCTCTTCTCATCCCCTGGTTGCTCGCTTTTCGATGCTTTCTCCGGTGCAGGTGGAGTCGAACATGGCCCGGTTGGGTGTCTCACATCCAGACGACGAAGACCAATCCAGTAGAATCGTTACTTCGATGGACCTTGAAGTGGCGGCGGAATTGTTGGCAACAAAGACAACAAGTTTCATCTCGTAGCGTAGAGACTCAATAATCGTCCACGTGTTTTTTTTTTGTGGCCCTCGCGCGTGTGTGTGCGTGTTCGTGGCTTCTTTTTTTTTCGGAACTAGATATCAGTGACTCGTGCATCGTGCTTTTTTTTAACTTGTTTTGTCATTTTCTGATTGTCGTTGGCTACAGCTTGCTGCCGCGGAACAATCACGTTTTGACGTCGTCCTTGTTTTGACGTAGCGTCTATTTGTCGCGTTTATATGTCTCACTTACTTTATTGTCGTGTACAAGCGCGTGCGCGGACCCCACGCGGCGCGTTCGCTATAGCTTCGGCTCATCCGAGCAATTAGAATTCGCTTCACGAGTCCTGCTACGCGAGGGACTGGTGTTTGCCTTGTACGAACGGCAGTTTCAGTAGCAGTAGATGGCTTGCGGACGCCGATCGGTGTACGCTGTGTCACCATGTTGTCTTGGGTGTTTATATTTGACACGTTGCTGCAGATGGCGCGCCTTCTTGCCTGGCGCTGTTCCGATCGGGGAGGTTGTGTGTGCGTGCGGCGCCTGCGCTCTGTCTAGAGTATTTGACGTGCGGGGTAGGGGTGGGGCTTGGTTGGCAATCATGAGCACTTGGCGAACATGATGGGGATGACGGTTGCGTTGCTGAAAGTGAAGCCATTTGTGGTCGTGTACATAAATTACAGAAAGTAAGGCTGCTCGTGCGCCGACGAACCATGCGTCGTTTTTTTGTCACCTGTGTTGGTTTTGTGGATGGATTTGATTGGGTCGCGTATGCACATACACGGTAGAAATTATAAGAAGGGGAACAGGTTTTTGTCGTCGTTTTGTGCACTCTGCGAGCCACAAGCCGCTGAACGGCACACGTCCAGATGTTCAACCGTTTTTCGTTCTTCCTTGGTTGTTCTTCGTACAAACGCATCGCGACAGTTTTTTTTTGCATAAATCTTAATTTGGTGCGAGTAAGTTGACGCAGTCATTAACACATCGCTGGCTTGTGCGTCTCAAGAACCAACGCTGCGGATCGCTCGACCACGCCAATTTACCGCAGTCATGCGGGTCCGCCAAGGTCAAGGATAAATAGAGCGTGTGATGTAAATGAACACATTCAAATGCGCATGTTTCGCAAAGCTGTGTTTTGCATATCACAACATGTGGTACTGCTAGAATACTTCTCTGCCACCACTGGCTGATCTTTACTCCTCATCAGACCAAAACAAAAAAAAAATACGGACAAGTGCAGTCGAGAGCCCAGTGACCCCGCCTGCCCTTTCCCCAAGAAAAAAATGAACTTCGAACGGCGGCCACCTTCAGAAATGATTCGGCAACCACAGACATCCAAAACCCTGCCACATAGGGGTTAATTAACACCTACCAGCGAGGCTAGGAGCTACTCTGGGAGAAAGTGACGAGATATCCAGCAAATAGCCCCGTCCACCTCTAGGCATTTCAGGTCAGCACAGGACGTGTAAAGCGCCTTTCAAGTGCTGCCCGTCATTACGCCTGAGAGACAGAAGGGGAGGCTGCTTGATCTCGGACCACTCCCGTTTCATCCCACCTCTCCTCTCCATCAGGGTTGCTATGGTTCTCCTCCAAGTCTCCCCGCGTCCCCGTGGCAAGGCACAAGCTGGCTTATTTGTTTTTCAGTCTATACTACACGGCACAAAAGCGACACGGAAGAGGAAAATTCCACCAACGTATCTCTGCTGTTGGAACGGACGGACGTGTACCCGAAGCCGAAAAAAGAAGCAGCCGTCTTAGGTGGATCTGACGCTACGCAAACCGCGCTTCTCGAACTCCCTCAACAGCAGCGCGCCGGTGGGAAACTGCCCCTCTCCTGCCAGCCGCGAGAACACCAGTTCCCCGTCGATGGACACCTCGAAGGCGCCGGTCGCCAAAAGGGAGCCGCAGAACGAGTTCGCTACGGTAAGCCCCACTATCGTTGCCATCGGATTGCGCCGCATCACCGGTACGAAGAACGGCGCCGGGACCCCGAGCCTGTCGAAGATGAGGGAACCGAACAGGACCGAAGCCACGCCGCCCACCTGCGCGTAGGAACCGAGGGTGGCCAGGGCTTGGGCCATGGGGGGAGGGGGGTAAAGCTCCCCCCGGATGCTCTGCGCCTTGGCGAGAGCGGGGTAGTGTGCGTGGAGGAACGATCGAAGCTCTTCGAAGTTCCTCCGCATGCCTCATGACACGCAAAATTGGACCAGCACTTGCGGCACGTCGCCACCACTACCAACAGCACCAGCGCCGGTAACGGCGCCTAAACTCGCAGTGCCGCCAAACTCTACGGAGGAATCTGCCACGGCGAGCTGCTGCGCCGCCGATCGTGCATCGTCTCTATTGCTGCTGCCGAGGCTCCCCCCGCCTGTGTTTTTGGTGGATCCGCCCATCCCGGCAAACTCATCCTCCTGCGCACGAGAAGATTGCGTGGCGTAGCGAAAACGTAGGAGGTCAGCGAGTCAAACCAGACCCAAATCAAAGTGCACACCATTCTCTTGAACCCCCCCCCCATCCCAACACAGAAGATAACACGAACAACTTCTACCAAAAAACGCACCGCATGACTGCTGTTGAGAGTTCAACAGGCATGTACCTAGAGATGAGGTCTGGGTGTGCCACATGCAACGTCAGAGCGAAACAGGCGTGTGACGCTTTAGGTCAACACGCTGGCTGTTCGCTTTTCTCCGGTCTTTTCTGGCGATGACGATACTAACCCTGTTGTTCGGAAACACGCGACTCAAAATATCGTAATAGTCGGAGAGATGGCACCGGGGTGCGCAAAAAAATACCAGAACGGCATGATTTACGTCGATTTACGCACCGGGGGGTGCGATCTCTCCGACCCCCCAAATCCAAGATTGCGCTCCTTTTCAGCTGCCGGAATGAGGTACATGTGCGTAACTTTTACACGTGGGGACGGTGTCAGCGGAGCGCCACTCCCATATGCTAATGTACGTATGCATGGTCGCGGTTTCACGCGGGATGCCAGTCGTTTTCATTTTAATTGGTATGAAGTTGCCAACCGTACACTCAACGAAACACACAACGTTCAAGCCGCACCCTACCCCACCTTGCACAACACGAAAACACTACCAGTATGTACTGCTGCGCATGTACTGGTATCCGGAGGAAGCCCGAAACGAAAGCGGGAGATAACTGATACCGAATGTATCGTTACCTCAGAGCCGAACTCGCATCAAACACAAGACCAATTGCTGCATGGAAAGCGGTTACGTACCAGCCTACGTCGCCGTTACCGGTCGGTGTGCTTCCAACCAGCAACAACGGTACCTACACGTGGTTCTATGCTGATATCATTAGTAGTACAGATAGATGGCACCGGGGTGCGTGCGTGCATACAACACCTCTGTCTATTTCATCGGGGATCGCACCGGTCGGAGAGATCGCACCGGGGTGCCTTGAAAATACTAAACGAACTGATTTGATTGCATTTCCGCACCGGGGTCGGAGAGATGGCACCGGGGTGCGATAAAAACACCCGAGGAAAAAACATTTGAAAAAACGATCGCACCCGGTGCCATCTCTCCGACTATTTCGGTAATCAAATAACGAAGTACTTCCTATGTAGCAACATCAACAATGGGGGTGGCGGTGTGGACAGGTTCACGAAACAGCATCCGGCGGTTACCGCAATGTCGTGACCTTGCGCCCTACTCAGCCATCAACCCACCAGACCAACATTGAAAAAGGAGAGCAGTCGCCGGGGGGAGTTGGCCCCCGCCTGCCTTGCTGACTACTAACGTACCGGGTCGTCAATCGCTGGTCTGGCGTGGTTCATGTGCTTTGTGGGCACGATCTCGGCGAGCGGTGCGACCGGCACTTCGCGTGCTCCACTTGCAGCACCCGCTGGTGGCTTGTCAGATGTAGCTGGAGATTTTCCTGCAGCGCCGTCCCCTACATATCGCTTGATGAACACTGCGTGGGATTTACACGGGGGAAAGCGGGGACGCGGTCGGTGAACAGAGCAGGTACGAAAACAAGCGATTTCCTTCAAGTCGTCTTGTGTGTGAGCGGAAGTCGCGGGCGTTGGGGGGAACGGGCAGATACCTGCCTACTTTTGCTGTGCATAAGCCAAGATCTGCTGGCTACCAACATACGTGACATGACGCACGACACCAAACCACCCCGGACCGATTTTCAAAGCTCCATTTCTCCACACCAGAAAGAGTGGCAGCGCCAAAATCGGCGGCGTTGAAGCCGTCTCGTCGAGAGCTTTCCGAAAACGTATCGCTTCATTCATGGATGGTGTTCATATCAACGAGTAATCGAGCTTTGAAAATCGGTCCAGGGGGTGTGATATCTCGTGTCACCTACGGTACGTGAGATGACAACGAACATTTTGCGCGTGCAAGAAACAAAAAAAAAATCCACGGGGCCCGACAGAACCAACTTTCCGAGGAAATCCAGACTGCGGAAAAGGTCGTGCATAGATGGCGTTGTCTCCCAAACATCCAACAAGACCATCCCATGGGCGACGGGGTTACCAATAATATTTATCTTACCAGCATGTTGATTTGTCTAGTTGTATGCTGGGGCCGTGGCACGAAAAACAACAGCTAGATCAGGCTGGGCTCGTCCGTTTCACCACCACCGACATGGCAGCCCGAGATAATAAACACCAGGGACGAGAGAGCGCTTTCGCGGCCTCCCAAGTGGGTCTTTCTCCTGCAGACCAAAAACAAACACAAAAAAATGCCCTACATGAATTGACTACAGACTAGAACAATATCGGGTAAAATGAAGACTGAGACTGCTGTCCATACGAAGAACAAGGTGCAGCGGTAGCCCCCAGAGCGAAGGTGTGGAATGTCCATCTCTGCGGTAGTATATAGCAATGGAAGGGTCAAAATACATGATAGGGAAGCCCTGAGAGCGAAGCTTTCCACAGAGAGACACCCAACACCCCTGGCCCAAAGTACCCCCACCCCACACGAACCGCATTTCTGTTCAACAAGGTGACTCTTCTCGGTCTCTTCAGGGAATAAGAATACACTCTGCCACGCCCTCGACAGGCGACGTGACAAAAGACCATGTTCGCGGTGTAAAAAGCACACGCGGTGTGAATTCATGGTGGAGACGTTTAATAGAAGGGAAACAACGACCAACTTCCCCGACTCACGCGTAACCCAACCACTCCCATCATCAACCTTTACCCGTCGCTTGGCGGTCCTAGAGCTTCTGCTGCTCCGTGACGACGAGTAGCGCGGAAAGGGTAAATAACAGCGCGGTATTTTTAGTTCTTGGTTCTAGGTCTTCGTGATGGAGGTTTTCACTCACAATATAGGATCGCCAGGAGCAGCATCCGATTCGAAAAGCTCATTCCATTCCTTTCGCCCCCGGGCGGTTGCCCTGCATCAGCACCAGGTTCGACCATGCGACCGGCTGATGCCTTCCTTGCAAGCACAAGCAGGCAAGCACAAGTGGACTGGTGGATTGATTTGAGTGACTCGCCCGTGAACAAGGATGAGTACGAGGTATTTCTTGGTTGTGTGCCCCCTAATCCCGCCGCTTGCGCCGCTCTTCTGGTCCTCAGTCCCTTGCCTCCTTGCCCGGTGTCTGTCTGTCTGTGTCTCCCTGTGTCAATGTCCATCGAGGTTTGTTCTACTGGGAAGGTTTGCTGACAGTAGTTTTACATCATGCCCGGTGCGGACAAGCACGCCGCCATAATCGCCATCGAGAATCACGGGTACAGGTGAACACATGCGGCGCAACAACGTACTTTCCATATCCTATTTGAACCACATCCCGTTCGACTGTGGGCATATCTCGAATGGGTAGTCTTTCTGAGTGTGTATTTATTTATTCTTAATTTGTAGCATATGCTATGCTATGTTGCGGCAACGTGATTCTTTACCGACCACTTCAGTGCTGCTGTAGACGTGTTGCTCGGCCCCTGCGTTGCTCTTCTTTCACCATTCTGTAGCGGCAATGGCCTATACACTTGTCGTACTGGCTATGAGTTACCCTGAAACAGCAGTGAAAGAACACGAGGGCTCTCTGTTTTTCCTACCCGGTGCTCGCCTTTTCTGTTTCTTCTTTTTATACGTATTTCTTAATATGACCCAACGAATCCATCTCCATCTAGGAAAAAGAGTCCTCTGAATGTGCGAAGACTCTGTAGCGTAGTTCATACGTCGAACACCATTCGTTTCATGAGGCAAGCAACACGCCAAAACCTACCAGCGTTCCGGCGACACACGTCCCCCCCTCCCAGTTCTACCCTACGGCCGCCTCGAACAGGGAAGAAAGCACCGCCTTTTCGCTCTTGGTTTTTGTTTTTTGCCACCATGTAACCGTCTTGTTCTTTGCAGCGTGGCATCCGGCGCTCTGGCATGTTTCGCATCCGTGCTGGGCAAGGTGGCTTTCGACGGCGACACGCCTTTCCAGGTCCAAGCAACGAGCGCTTGCGAGGAGCACTTCCCAGAGTTGGCGTTGTGCAACACGGTGAGGTCACCAAAAGAAAAGTCTTAGACAACGAATCACCCACGTGCGGTGGAGCTTATCTTGCCGGTGTGTTCTCTGTGCGTGCGTTGGTTCGCCAGTTGCCACATGTTGTGGTTTGTAGATTCATCAGGTTGCAAGTGAACATGAAACAGGACAACAACTCCTTGGTTTTGGCTTGGAGGAGGTTGAGAGGCTCCGCAACGGCAACGGTGCATTTTTTACCACATCATATAAAACCAAAACCACCAAGTAGTCTTGCATGTCTTCGATACATCAAGGGCGTTTCACGCCTACCCTAGTCGCTTAGACTCATGGTGGACTGCTGCTATGTGTCTGCACCCCTTGTCGCGCTGCGCTTGATGTGGCCCCCTCTGGCTGGTTTATCTCAGGTAGGCCGTCTGGTTCAGGGCGCGTCGCTGGCGGGAATGTTCATGGTAAACGCCGTGATGCTTTCGACCTTCCTCAAAGCTCTCCAAATGTCGGGGTCTACCGTCGCCACCGTCACCAACTTTTCCACCAACTTTGTGTTGTCGGTAAGGGTATGATGCCTGTTTGTTGGACGCGTTGATGCATAGTACACTCACCCCGTGATTCCGCCACCCCTTGCTGTGTAGCCTTCGAAGTTTGCGACGTAAAGTCGTGATGTCCTTGCGCTTGCGTCCCTTGTGCGAGACACCAGCTCCCCGTATCCCTGTGGTGCACCGTAGCTACACCATGCGCACCGAGTTGTTTCGTTTTTTCCACAAGAAACCCACGACAAAATGTGCTACATGCAGTACCGTTACGGAAACCCGACCTGGTGGACCTCCACAAGCATCAGTACAGCAAGTTTTTTATGGTCGTTGAAAATCTCCGCCCGCGCTCTTCATTCAACATGAGCTCTTTTGTTCATGTCGGCGTCGCTTGATGTCTGTTGTGATTCGCGCGGTCCGTCTCTTACACTTCCACCATGCTGTCCTCGTCGCAGGGCATCTCCGGTAGGATGGTCTTTGGGGAAAGGTTGCCGGCTTTGTGGTTCTTCGGTGCTTCGCTAGTCGTCTCGGGGGTGGTTCTTTTAACCGGCGGCAGTAGCCCCGAGGGCGGCAAGACCTCCGAGAGAATAAAAGGAGAAGGACTAACATCGACAGGCCAAAGCACCCATTCAAGTTCGCGGAAAACAACGAAAGACCGGGAGAAACGAGATTGACGAAACGTACTCGGGGGGTTGCACGTGGCTGAGGTTCTCAGGAACTTTGATAAGGGTCCACGATCGAGGATTGGTGTGTCGTTTTGCACACGACGACCTGTTTTGTGGGCATCGCCTGGAGCGCGTCGCTGATGTAGGGCGGACTTGTGTTTCTGGGAAAGTGTTGCATGTTGTGCATGTTGTACACCAGCAAGTGTAGGTTTGTTCAGAGTCTTTTGTTCGACGAACCGGGTAGATTGGTCAACATTCTGTATTTTGTTTTGCGCGAAAGACATCGTCGGCACCTTCCCGTCGCTGAACCGAAGCAGGGAACACTGCCCGGCAGTCCACCGCAACGAACGGTTGCCACACGCCGTGGCGACAAACAATTCTGACCTTGTTTTGTCTTGGACGGAGAGAACACCGCTTTGCCCGGGGCGATCCATTCACCACAGCGTATTTACAACCAACCGGTAGGGCGAGCAGCCGTTGATGGTCGTGCTCAAGCCAGCCGGTCTTGGCGAACGAGCAACTCCAAACCCTATGCAACAGCGACAAGGACTTGAAAATAATCGCTCTCTTGCGGTCGGGAAAGAGCACACTGGCCCGAAACAGACAACAAGGCAGCTTGTCTAACGCGTCGGTTCCAATCCCTCCTGCGGCGCCGCACGGACCGACCTACCCTTGTGTTTTCGTATATCTCTCTCCTCTTCTGCCTCTATTTATTTCCTTCTCGATCTGTATCTCTGTCGCACCCCCCTCCTGTCCGCCGCTCGCGGCATCACGCTAACGCTACCTTACCCGCCTCGCGGCGGCTTGATCGACTTTAAGAGAATGTGCTGGTCTTGGACCTCCTGCAAAGTCCTGAAGCCCCACTTTTCGATGTTCGCGAAGCCCCAGCGGCCGTCTCCCCTCTGGTCCGCCAGGCTCTCTAGCGCGTGCAGCTGCCGCGCCTCTAGCTCGGGGAAGGTCTCCCTCATGACGTCACGGAGGGTGTCCTTAGTTGAGAAAGTCTCGTCGTCGCCTTCTTTCTTCGCCCTAAACTCGTCTCCGAGCTTGCGCTGCGGTGCGTGGGAAGAACAATAGCCCGGAGGGGGTTGGGGTTCTCGCGTTGCGATCGAGCCGACCTCCTCTTTCGTGTCTGGTATTGTGATAATGCCAAGCGAGAATTCTCCCCACTCATTGTCGATGTCCGTGAGACGTGTTCCCCCCAGTCGACCGGGTGCGAAACAAGTGCATTCCGCGGTTTATATTCCAAAAAACTCCGGTGGGACAAGTTTGGAAACGCATACTACCAGCAATCCATCCGCTCCTGGGAAGTGCGATAAAACCATCCCTTGAAGCCCTAGTAGGCTACATGCCGACAAAATGTTTCAAACACAATTCGATGCCAAGTAAGTCCGTGTCCTGCTCAATTTCTCTCTTCTCACCGTAAACTCGTCCGCACTCAGACCGGCAACCTTGGCCAAGCCCTCGGCCTGCCGCGAGGCCCTGAACTCGGTCACGCACTCGTCTTCCGCGCTCTCGTGCTGTCGGCTCTCCAGCTGCTTCAGCGCGCACATCACCCCCGCCACGGCGTCGGCTACTTCCTTCGCCGCCACCACTCCGGCCTCGCTGACCGTGACCGCGGACATGATCGCCGGCACCTATGTAGGTGGTGCGGACGGACCCCGAGCGGGAAGGTTTCGAGAGAAATTGGTGGTGTTGATAATGATACCGGAGGGTTTTTGCCTAGCTAGGGTTCATTTTCTCGAGTCAGGTGTGAGAAACTGGGTGTCACACTCCTTTCTGGGTTTTGATTTGATTGTTGATGAATCATTCTTGGACTATTGTATCCTCGTGCAAAGCGACTTTCGCTTCTTGACCTCTAGGGTCAACACGGAAAATGTGTTTGTTTTCTTTCGGGCGCTCAATAGAACCGGGTCCGTCGTTCGCCCCACAGATCATTTCAGTTTGCGTGGTTTTCCGTAGGAGGACCAGACAGAACAACGATCGTGCAGAAGAGTGGTGTGAGACTAGTCTCTCTCAAAATCTGGTTGCTTCTTCCCCTCAGCCGGCAATATAGTACCAACAGAAGGCACACGAGCACCGCGGCGCTCTCACCACCCTTCACGTACATAGCCCTCCTCTGTCTCAGCAGCAAACGACACCCCAACCGGATTTCTCACCTGCACGTACCGCAGCCCTAACCCGGCGTTGTAGAGGCACTCCGAGGCACCCAAGGAGGTCATGTGCTCGTCGCCCCCGTTGGCCTCAACTAGGATGCTGTAGACGCGCTCGCGAAGTGCCATCTCTTCCTCGGGGATCTCTTGGACCTGCCTCGATAACGTGATGGCGCCAACACCCCGTCACGTTCATTCCTAGAGAAATACATGTCATTGCGTGCTGGCTTCGAAAACTTTTCAACCACAGCTGGTACTCTTGTTGATAATCTGCTGCTTTGCTTGCGTCTAATTTAGAAGTGACCGACAGCAAGTAAGAAGTAGCGACACAAGAGCAGGAATGAACCTGAAGCCGATGCTGACGATGTCGGACGAGAAGCAACACCAGCAATCAAAGGATACGCACCTTGTCGCTTAGGATCTCGACGATCATGGAGAAGCACACAGGCAAGAACTCCTGATAGTCAATGACCCCGTCGCCGTTTTCGTCGATGAGAGCTGCCAGGCGCAAGCGGTGCATAAGTACATAGGAGTACACAAGATCACGGAGGAAAGTGCAAAGATTGATATGGGGGATGTGCACCATGCAGCAACCAAGGGTCGTGCCGTCCACACATACTTGCGGCACAAGATGAACCAGGCCGCATGTAGTTGGAGAGATATGTGAATGAGAGAATATACGAAGGAAAGGCACGCGATTTGAATTGGTACCAACTCGTCTGCACTCGTCTCTCAGACGGTTATTCACAAGATCGATTTCCCGGCCACTACTTCAAGGGGTCCCCGGTGCGACGTAGTTCAAGAAACATGCCAATTCCACGCTACCTCGCCTTCCCCGCTTGACAACCTCCCTGGGAAACACCTCTTTCTGTCCCTGCAATAGACTCCAATCAAACCGTCGACGTTTTCGAGCGGCACCAAATACGTCACCGTCTACCAAATACACGCGAAAGGGTCCACGTATGTTGCATGGCCACACACGAGATATTTGCGTGCACCCACATCCACACGTTCATGTTGCACGAATCATCCTGAACACACATACATTTCACTGACACGTGGTTTGCAGCTCTCCGAACGTACAACCATCCGAACCACCCTACTCACTGAGGACAAGGTTGAGCTCCTGTCGCGTGAAGCCCAAGCCCGACTCCTTGAGACACCGGATGAACTCCGCGCGGTCCAGAGCTCCGCTGCCGTCTCCGTCGGCTCCGCGGAAGATCTCCTGTATGGAATTTTCAAGCTCGTGCCGTGGCAGCCCCTTCATGAGGTAGTTCTCCACCTGTTGGTGGTGAAGGAGTTCGGGGTTAGGGCGGCGTGGGACGGGGCGGGAGAGGGGAGGGTAACTGTTGATTTCCCTGCCCTATTGGCCATCGACCACGCCCCACTTCCTAGTGGATGTACCGCCTCTAGCACTTTAGAAGACACCTCTTGTACTGCTGCTGAATGAGGTGGGGGGTGGTGATTTTTTGAAGTGCGTGATGCTGCCGGTACGACGGCTCTAACAAAAGCAAAGGTAAGGCGTTGGGCGCGGTTATTGGTACAGAAACGATTGTCTTGTTTTGCAACCGTATCTTCTCGATGCTGTGCTGCTGGCATCTGATCCTGTACATTACGCTGTTTCAACTTACATCCATTTTCGCCGAATGGCGTTTCTTCCGTATGAGCTTATTCTCCGAGTACTGCTCGGTCGCCATTATAGCCTGCGCGAATTGTCGACAAGAAGCACATGGATGATGATTGTTCCGGTTAGAAATTGCATTTGCAAACTGTGTATGAGAGAACACTTAACGCTAATTCCACAGCATCTTTGCCCGAAATTTAACAACAAGTGAAACCAAAACGGCGCAGCCCAAGCTCCCTCAAACGTCACCTGGATGAGTTCGATAGCGATCGGGAGGAACTCTTTGTACTCGATAACCCCGTCGTCGTTGTTGTCTGCCTCGGCCATGATCTTCAACACGTGCTTCGTTGACAGGCCACCAATGTCTGCCGCGAACATCTCAAGCACCTGGGATGTTGTAAGTGCGGCAGTTGCAATGAACAGTACGTCCGTCCGTGTCCTGTGAAAGCACACATGGGGTGTTTGCACAGTGAAAAGAGCGCCACCCTGGCGCGGAAACGGCCACGTACAAACATGGCAGGGACCCAACGAGGGCATGCATGCATGCTTGCATCTCTGCGAATGAAAGCGAAATATGTTGTCTATTACTCTTACCATTTACTACGATACGGTCTCAAGACGCACATACATCTGGTTCGACGACAGAAACGCCAGGACCTCAACAACGCTGAAGCTACTAGCGCCGGACCAGAGCGTGCACCCGCTGAGCGCAGTGAAAGGGCAGGTGAATCTTTGGCGATCAAGCTTACAGCTTGTCCACACCAAGTTCTTAGTCAGCTCTATCACCTGTTGAAACTCTACCCTTGATAAAGTCCCATTTCCGTCTGTGTCCGCCTCCTGGAAAAGTAACGCGACGCGGTCCATCAGGACGTCCTGAGACATGTCGTTGGAGCCACCGCCCGGTCCCTCTTCCGTCTGTTGAGTTTCCACCTGTCAAACAACAGCGTTCAGCGTATACATACTAAGAAGAGTGGGAATGCACTTTTGGCAACGCATCCGAACGATGGCGACATCGCTGACAAATATGCTGAAAAGCGACAAACTCAACCTGCAACTATCTGATGTAGTCTATATCTCAGAGAGGCCCGCCGCCATGTACTGTAGATCAAACCTCCAGACCAACAAAACGTTGGGGATACGCAGACGTGTATTGGTGCCAAAGTCGGAAGAGTTCCAAGTGCCGCATGCGCAATGACTGTCGCTGGTCGCTTGCCGACTCGTCGCATGTGTCATGTACGACGTAATAAGCTGCACCCAATCCGCCCTCTCAGAGCCGGGGGGGGGGCGGGGCAGCACCACACACACACACACACCAACGCGTACCTCATTCACGCCGAGTGTGATGACGCCCAGGTCATCGTTGGACTCTCCTGGTTGGCTGTCGTCGACCCCGCCAATAGTACCTTCGACAGGGGCGGGCTGTTCGACGATGACGTCCTTTTCCGCAACGGATGAAAGCTTTGCGAAGTATTCGTAGCCAAACCTGAACACACATTATGGACCGGAGACAAGAACTTGCGTTCAGTGACGTGCGTAGAAAATGACTCCGCCGAGCTACGCAATGTGGTCAACGGGAAAGAGTCTTGCAGACAGGTACCATCTACTGGAGATAGGTACAACAGTTATAACGATACATGAACTCCATCGGACTTGCGTGAAAGGTCGTACTGTAGTACATGAACCGCCGTTCGTTGTCGTCTTCCACTTTCTTTCGTCCTGCCCTCCAAAATTTGTCTCAGTTTACACCATACTGGCCGATATGCCCACAGGCCTACGACAGTGTAGGTTCGTGAAACCCACTCCACGATCGAGTCGAGAGTATACCCTACATGTGCATACTTTAGTTGTTGGGATTTTGAGGTCAGGACAAGGTGCCCGTGTGAATTAGTCTACGACATCAATATATATACGGCGTGTGGACTTCGTTGTACGTCACCTACCGGTAGATATCGGCGGGTTGTTCTCGAATGGCCTCCTTCGCGAACTCCCGCAGGATTGCGGGGAACTCCTCGGGAATCTCGAAGGCCTTGGCATAGCTCCCCATTTGAGGTGCACGTGTAGTTTCAACGTGCCTTGGTAGTGAAGAGGTGTGTTGGTTGTTGGAAATCGCCTCGGTCGTCCTCGCCAAAATAATTTAAAAACGTTTCGTTTTTTTTTTCACGTCATCGATCCATCTGAAGAAGATCTGAAGATATCCTTTAGAGCCAGCACAGTCAGATACTACACAATATGGTGATACTAGGGGGGGGTGGAAGGCGGGGCGGGCAACGTGGTGCTACAAGTAAAACTGCAGTGTTTTCCTCTACGCGACGTCGTGCACGCCCTGCAGTGCTGTAGTACTGCCGAGGTATATGTATGCTGTGGTCCCAGACACTCAATCAACTCTATCTACATCCTTATGTGTGGTACGCGGGTTCTGAGTGAATTTGGTGACAACAACACAGCAAAAGGTATAAATAGTGTTCGTGTGTGTGACAAAAAAACGCGTGAGTATCGCTGCTCGGTCAGGTGGTAGCCTGACGAACCGGAAAAAAAGGGGACACAACTAACTTCTGCGCGCGTACGCGGCACTGCGGAATGTGGGCACGAACTCTGTGTAGGTGGCATGTGTTGCATACTCGGTCATCAGGTCGAATACTCGAATTTTGTGCCGACCAAACGATTTTGAACGCCGACCAAATAAATGATCTTGAAAAAGTGAGGCGACGTTCACGAACTACGGCCGGATTTGAGGGGGTTCGTCTACGGACGAAAAGAGAGCCTCATCTTTCCTGCTGGTAAGCCTGACGTATGTACGCAAGGGCAGTACGGGCCCACACGTTCAGAAAATTGGGGCGTGTCCTGGTCATGTTCAAACGCATGCCGTAGTCGGTAGATCATACACGTCCCATCCTGCTAGGACGGAGCGATATGCCGGGTTTTCGCCAGGCCAGGCTAAGTGTCGCGAGGATGAACCAGAAGCTGGTCATCCTCCTTCCTTGCGTTTGCTGCGCCAGATATGCCATGGATGGGTTGACTGCTGTGGGCATCCCCGCCAATCAAACATTTCACATGCGGCAAGCACGCGACAAAAAATAGTCCAAGAATCACAAGGGACTTCGATCTTTACGCGCTCGTACAAAGCAGACGCGCAACACAAAATCAGGCTTTTACGCAATGATATTTTTCAGTTTGACGGGACATGATACGCAACACACCAGGGTGGGCCGCGAAAGTTGACATGAACGAAGACAGACGCGGTCGAGCTTCGCCTCGCAAGCCAATCACAAACAGGCGGCAACCAACCGTGTGTTGCTGTTCTGTCAAAGCCGCCTTGTAGTCGTCGCGGCCACGCCAACGCCCACCCCGCCCAAAGTATGCCAGGGATTCATATCGTGCTTCGTTCGCCCTCGACACCCGAAGAGGGCAAGAACCAGAAACGACTGCATCCACACCGACGATGGACACACCACCTACCCCCAACACCTGGCCAAAAAAGCAGTACAAAAAACTCACCCGAGTGCGAGAGAACCAAAGGCAGCAACAGCAAGACTCCACGACTTCCAAGCGCAATACAACGCGTGGTACATGCCATCATTGGAGGGCTCGAAATACAAGATGCCGTCGACACCGTTGACTGATTCGGCCGTGGTGCCTCGAGAAGAAGAAACCAGCGCCGTGGGGGGGCACATAAAAAAAAAAAAACGCCGTTTCTCCAGCCCTCCCCTGCCCGAACCTCGATATCATACGTTTCGGCTGAAAGGTGTGTATGTACGCCTCGAGAACTAGAACCTTTCCCCCCCGCGGGCGCGCCCCCCCAAAAGCGGTGGGCGCTCCAACATCAACCTTGTCCTCCGTCAGCCGTTTGGTTCGCTATGGCTGGTGCATCCTCTTCATGTGTGCTCGAAGAAGCCTCCGCGGCCTAGCTTGAAGTCCGTGACCTTGGTGAGGATCTCCTCCTTCTCCCTCGTAACCTCCTTGAGCAAGTCCTTCACGCTCAGCATCCCCACCACCTTGGTCGTTTCAAGGGCAAGATCGTTGTGGTTCGTTGATCAATGCTCCGTTGTTTCACAATATGCTGTCTCTATGTGTTGCAAACCGAAAGAGAGCGGATGAGTTTTCGAAAGTACGAGACCATCATCTGCTCCCAACGAGGGAGGGAAACCAAACGCCTCAAACCACCGCTGGATGTTGGGCGGCACATTCCCAAGAAGATACCGGCGCTTGTGGCCGAGAGGGGGGGCTCATGGAACATGCTTCAGGTAGGGGTACTAGGCCATTTGCATTCGAAGGTCGAATCGACAAAAACGCTCCGTTTCGTGTATCCCTCGCCGAGAGAGAGAGTTGCGCTTCCCGAGCGCACCGGTCTCTCACACATGAATTGTACGTGACGGGCTTAACACCCAACCACCCAAGCGGGCTGGTGACACCGACACGTTCGAATGGGACGAACACGGAAAGCCCGGAGACCGTTTGCATACGTAGATGTAGTGTCCTTGACTCGAGAGCAACCGGAGTGTTTTCCCCCAAAAAAGTTTGCTGCAAAGCTGGGCTGTCACTGTCAAAGAGTTGTGCAATCAACCACGTAACACGCCTCCTCAAATGCACGCTGAAAAAACGTCGAGATTGGATTGATGCAACCCGGAGACCGCGGTAGTTTGCATTTTGTTCCATGCCTGAGAGGGACAACGCTCCTGAGAGCACAACGCTCCCGAGAGCGGCGGAGACACCAGACATCGTATGGATTGAAAAAACAGAGGATGAACTTCCAACATTCAACGAACAGACTCCGACCTGCTGCAACACATCAAGGGCTCGAACTTAAGTCTGCTGCGGCACACCCAAGAAGGCTGCGTGTCCTTAGTCAGTACCCACGAGCAGCAAAAACTAGACGCCAAAACTGAACGTCGAACGAGCTTCGAGATGTTCGTTGATCCATCCACCCATTCCCACCTGTCCCTTCTCCTCGTCCACCACGGGAAGATGGCGGATATCCCTCGCCACCATCTTGGCCATGCAGTCCTGCATGGTGTCGCTCTTTGAGGCAATCACCAGGTTAGCGCCCATGGTGGCGATCTCCTTGACCGGGGTGCTCTTGCTCGCCTTCCCCAGAAGAGCAACCTTCCGACGCAAGACGGTAGGTCCGGCCAGGGAACGGTTTAGGTGTGGGGAGTCGGTGAAACGAGTGATGGTGATGGTGATCGTAACCCTCTCCCTCTTCCCTTCTCCGAAACTCTTAGATCCCGCACGTCACACACAAAAGGGTGCGCGTGTGTAGACAAGGCCAACATTTCCTGTGCCTGCCCTGTTTCGAACAATCAGCTGCTGCTCCGAATCACAGGCGCCGATCACGGGGGGCTGGGGCAAGGAAACACAAGAACCTACGCATCCCACCACACTTGGTGCCGAGTTTTATCATGCTGCGCGGCCGGCCAGACCTCTTCCCGCTGGGCGGATAGGGTAGAGTCCACGAGCTTCACCAGGAAAACGCCAGCAGCGCATGGGGGTTTTAAGAAGGTCACCATGCAGCGTGTCGTCAGGTAGGTTTTCGGCGACGGTGAAGGGGCCTAACGCGCGTGCGCTCCGACCCAGAGATTTTCTGTCTGCTTCGTTAATGTCGCGCATGAACTGAACTCGCCCACTCAAACCTGTCAATGTCGCGCGGACCATCTAGCGCCCCCCACCTAACCGCATGCGATCTCTCTCTTCGCGTGGAGGGTCAACGCCTCATTCCTACCAAACCCCAAAAATGCCTCTTCACGGTTTGAGCTTAATTTGGGCCAAAACGCTTCATCTTCATGTGTCCAGATTACCCGCATCTAACGCAGGCTTGCTGCGGACACGCACGGGATGAGTGGTTTGGCGCACTTTCCACTCTGTCAACACTTGTAGCAGACCGGACCAGCACCGCGCCTACCGGCCCAATTGACGCGAAAGCCTTCCATGGTCCTAGGTCAATGTACCCCCAAAAAGGTACACACTGCTGTCAAGGATAAAAACCACACGGCAGCGACGTGGGCCCAGCAAACCCTCATACGCCCACAAAAAAATAAAACGGCGCGTACGCTATAGAGAATGCTAACCGCAATTTTCGAAAACAGCTCGTCTCCCGGCTGTATGTGTATTGGGACTCGTTGGGAGCATTTCTGGCTTCATATTCTGGCATTCTCGTTTTCTTATTCGTGGCGGCGTGTACCCTTTTTTGTGGTACTTTGCCTGTGACCTCGGAAGGTGTCCGCGTCAGTTGGACCGGTAAGAGGTACAGTACATACCAGAGTGTACCCAGCAGAGGCAGCAATGCGTGTTTTGCAGAAGAGCAGGCGGAAGAATGGTTACACCTTTGGCCAACGAGATTTCAAGGCTTGTCAATTTCCAAGATATACACCTCCCTCCTTCGATTTATGTACAAATATGGGATGTCGCTACAATATGCCACATACCCAGCCCACACGGTGAGAATAGATAGTTGTACACGGCGGTACACATTCGAAGTATAGAGTATATACAAAAGTTGAGCTACTCGCACGGAGCGAGGCGAAGCGTGGCACGGCAGTAGTGGTGGGCCCGGTTCAGCGATCCCCTCCTCGGCGGCATGCCCTGTGTATTGTACATGTAGCCGCTACAAATTCGCGCGGCACTACTGAAACACTGACTCGTACCATTACAGCAGTTTCATCTCCCCGATATTTTGTCGTTGACCCAGTAGAGAACTACAGGGGATGTACTGCTGCAAAATGTAGGTTACCTATACAGATGTTTTTGTACTTAGCACCAGCTGGCATCACTGATAAAAATCATCAGTGCATAGACTTGAAAAGACTCGAAATAATTCCAGTACCCAGCCGGTTTTCCTCCACTCACTGAAAAGACTCCCACCACATCCCCTTCGACTATGGGTATCTCGAATGGGTAGTCTTTCTGCGTGTATCCACTCACTGCTGTAAAGACTGAGACTTTTAACACATCCCCTTCGACTGTTGTGGTACTATCTCGAACGGGTGGTCTTTCTGTGAGATTATGTAAACTTCCTAAAAATAACAGCAGTCGGACTATCGGAAATAATAGTGACCTTGCTTTCCTGGAATAGTGACCTGGAGTTCCTTTTGACACTGGTGCCGCGAGGTGAGTCGCTGTGTAAACCGTTTAACAGAGCGGTGCCAAACCAGAACTACTACGTACTGCCTGTGCAGTCCTTGTACCGAATCACACAAGGGAAGGCGGCCAAGGTCAAGGCATAGCGGACGGCGGGCCGTATCTTGGGGGGTAGGTAAGAAGCCGTATGAAAGACGGCGAAAACAACAACTGAACATCATCATCTCCATTCTGCCCCCCGACCCCTCCCACCACCGCTGCTACTGCAACACTACAGCAGTACAACACACATGTTCAATATTTACACGCAAGCAGGCAGCCCAATTTAGATATTCCACCACATTTTCTGGGGAACGTACTGCTGTGTAGTTCACCTTCGAGACGTAGTCGCGCTCGGAGACGATGCCGATGACCTTCTTGTCGTCGTTGGTCACCGCCAACGCCCCGATGTTGTACGCCGCGAAGCGCTGCACCGCCTCGTAGACGGTGGCCTCCTCCGAAATGCCGAAGTCGATCTTGAAGTAACACGACTTTTGGAGGGCGTCTTTCGCGGACGATCGGTTCTCGACGGTCGTGGCGACCTCGCCGTAATTCCGCGGCTTAGGGTCGCTCATGCTCGACAGCGGAGCAGCTGCTGCCGGCGAGGGTAAGGGGAGGCAGCAGTCACGCGGCAGTGTTGGGATCCTTGTGCTGGCGTTGTGGAAGGGTGTGCACACGACCATGCCGGAGAAGGTCGCGGCTGTTGCTGGCTAAAAGCGGCGCTGCTGCAGGCAAAACTGAAGTTTGGTGCTCGCGCGGTGGCGTGTGTGTGTATGTTTAATCATCATCTAGCGCGATTGTTTTGCGAGCGGCATTCGAGCCGACCGCGGGGGAGCTTACCGGCACAAGGAGCGGGGCATGTCCTAGGCTTTACCGCCGCCGCCACCGAAGCTCTCAACGCTCTCCTGTGTAGAGAAGGGGTTCGTTTGCAAAGGCGCAGGCAGAGAGCAGTGCAACGGAGGGAAAACGAAACCACGACGCACGTGTCTGTCTCAGGTGAAAACATAGCGAGATAACGCTTGCTGCGTGTTCCCCGGGAGTGGATATAGCCAGAGCGAAGAAGAAAACGCTCACACACGCCCGTCCTTCTCACCTTCCAGTAGATGCCAACATGTTAAACGCCAGCAGCAAGTGTATGTGTTTGTTGCAGGTCCCGTGAGCCCCCGTGCCGTCTCTCAGCTGTTGGGGCATCGCATCAGCTTGGTCAACATGGTGCATACCCTAAGATCAGAAAGTACGACTGCAGAGCCCCTGTCTCTCACATTTCGAACTGCTGCTGTGGTGCTGTCGTGCTTGCTCGCTTCAGTGGATATAGCACCAGGTGCCTCCGGCAACCTCTCCGTCTGGAGCACGCACCCACACGCACGCACACAGACACAAACGAACCCTGCCGCGAGTCGCTCGCGACGCACACGCACCCGGGCGACAATGTCGCGCGAGATCGAGTACATGGAGGAGGAGTCGATCCCCTGCCCGATCGTGCTCCTGCGGGGAGAGATGCTCACCGAGGAGATGGACGGGCTGTACCGTGTCACCACCAAGGAGAACGCCGTGTCTGACATACTTACCGTCCGCCTAGCCTGCGGAGCCGGCGACGCCGCCACCTTCTCAGGGTCGCGGTTGTACTACGAGGCCCGGGTGGAGTCGGGTGGCGCGGTGGTGCTCGGCCTGGCCGGCCCTGGGTTCGACGAGGGGGTAGAGAACCAACCAGAGCGGCCGGGGGTCGGGGACGTGATGCCGAGCTGGGCGTTCGACGGCGCGCGCAGGAGGAAGCGCACCCGGCAGATCAGCAACATGTACGGGCAGCGGTGGAAGGCCGGGGACATGGTGGGCGTGCTGCTGGACATCGACACCAAGGAGATCTCGTTCAGCCTCAACGGGAAGGATCTCGGCCCGGCCTTCACTCTCAACGACGAGGAGGTGAAGGGCCTATACCCGGCCGCCTCCCTCCACTTCGGCCAGGCCGTCGTTTTCAACTTCGGGCGGGCGCCGTTCGAGTACAACCCTCGCGAGCGCGGCAGCAAGCCCCAGGAGCCGGCCATCATCGAGGCGCCCGCCAAGCCCAAGTCCCGCCGGAAGTCGACGCCGACAAAGCCTGCCGCTGCTGCCCCCGTCCCCGCCGCACCTGCTCCTGCTGCTGCTGCTTCTGCTGCTGCTGTGGGTCCGAGGGCCGGGAAGGGCAAGCGTGCGAAAGGCGAGAGCGCCGGCGCCGGTGGGGCAGACGGCGTCGACGACGAGCCCGCCAGTGACGGTGACGCAGAGCCCGTGTACGTGGACAAGAAGGCGGCAGATGCCACTGGTGGTAGCGGCAGCGGTAGCAGCAGCATGAGGTCAAACGGCCACACCCAGGCTGGCGGCCGCGGCAAGGGCAGCAATAACGCCTCCTCCGCCGGTGTGGACGTCGAGTCCGAGGCGCAGGCCGAGTTCGACCGACAGACGAAGGAGATCGACGGCCTCCTCAGACACGAGACGCTGCTGGAAGGCATGCACGAGATGCACACGAGGCACCGGCGGGAGCGCAAGGCCCTTCTCGCCACCCAACGCAAAGAGGTACAGAAG